CACTCTGCTCTCCTCCCCACTGAGAGCTGGTGTGTGGGGAGTGTACTGGTGCACTCTGCTCTCCTCCCCACTGAGAGCTGGTGTGTGGGGAGTGTACTGGTGCACTCTGCTCTCCTCCCCACTCAGAGCTGGTGTGTGGGGAGTGTACTGGTGCACTCTGCTCTCCTCCCCACTGAGAGCTGCTGTGTGGGGAGTGTACTGGTGCACTATGGCTGCCGTTGCATCATCCAGGTGGGGCTGCACACTGGTGGGGGTGGAGGGGATCCCCATTACCTGTAAAGAGCTTTGAGTGGAGTGTCCAGAAAAGCGCTATAAAAGTGTAAGAATTGTTTTTTTGTGTAGTAAGGGTCATGGCAACCCCAAACTATCCTGGAAGCACACAATCCCCACAAACGCAGTGAGAACATGCAGCCTGAATCAATCGCAGGACCCGAAGGCTGTGAGGCAAGAGTGCCACAGCCCTGAAGTAATCTTCCTCTTTTAAAGACAAAGTTTTATTCTCGTTATTTCCTGTACTTCTGCTGATTGTATTACGCAGAGGTCTGCAATCCTGGTCCTGGAGAAGGGTTTCCTGCAGGGTTTATATGCAGCCTTAAATAATCAATAAACAGAAATCCATGCTGATCAAAATAGGTTCATTCAGAGCTTGGCTGGAATGAAATCCATGAGATGCTGTATATCTCCAGGGCTGAAGTTGTATAACCCTGGTATAAACTCTGAGTGTTTCTAAATATGATTTATGTTGCAGCTACAGTAAATACAATTTTGCCACATATAATAATCTTTTTTTTATCTCAACACTTTTGTCCAGTGAGCAGGGTTTGTTTGTCTTCTGCGTTTCTGCTTCTAAGCAAAAGTGCTGCAGTGGTGTAACAAAGAGGCCAAGCACCTACCTCCCAGGTGTTAAATTTAGCCAGAGCCTATTTGTGTGGCATTACTGTAACCTGACACCTCCTAATATCCCTAGAGGAGTTAAGGATTGCTATGATACACATGGAACAGATATTTATTCTAGCTCAGTGATAACGATTATCCCAAACCCTTGCTGCAAAGCTAATGCCGAATTGTCTTGCCTTATGGACTGGAAAAAGAGACATGCTGGTGTTCATCATGCCATTTCACTTATGAACATAAGTGATCATTTTCTTTCACTCTTGTTCATTTAATCATTTCAGTGTGATTGCTCTGGCATCTCGTGGTGAGGTCTGCTGAGCTGAAGCTGATTGAGAGCTAGCAATGTCTTCTGAATGCATCTGAGCACAAAAACACGTGTGTCACATGACGTGACGTTTTCTAGCTTCAGGTTACAATGATCCCATCGTTTGCATTAAATCTAGTCTCTTTCCACACCGCTGAAACCTTACTGATACTCAAGCCAAATCACAAGTCACAGCGTTACCCTTTATTTGACAGTTAAAATACTAAAATAGAAAGTACTGAGCACATGCTGTAGAAATATCCGTTCCTTGAAGCTCTTGGGGAATAATGTACTGTAAATAAGCACATAATAGATTCCTGCACCTGAGGATATAACTTTGATTATTTTAAGGCAGAATTAGGAATTCTGTTACCAAAGGTAAACCGTTATTTTCCTTACTGTGAAAACAGTTTTGTAAAGGCGCTTTGCTAATTATGAGCAATCTTCTTCAAAGCTTGGGGTGGTCTGTTTAACTGGCAGCCCTGATTCATGGGATTATAATATTTTTCTAAAGTTTTAATTGTCATTATCATCTGTGTTCCAAAATGGTCAAATTGAAAATCTTTTTTTTTAATTGATTGCATATTTATTTAGAGATACAAAAACATCTTAAAATAATTAATTATTTAGTACAGTTTAGACTTGAAATATTGTGCAGTGCATCCAAGATTTAGATTAATGTTCTTCATTAATACCATTTCTGTTAACTTCTCCTGCGTATGCAAAGAACATATATCTTATATACTGTATATACTGTATATAATAATATACAGTACTGTATATTATATATTTTATAAAGTACACATAAAGTATACTTTAAAGAACATCTGCTCAAATAATTTGAATATGCTACAATTATTACATTTTTTCCATGTCTAATACTGTCTCTATTTTTGTTGCAGTCATCCTTAACAAACAGCGATATCATATTTCTGAAGTTACATGCCCCCTGGGAAGTCCTTTGCAGATATGCAGAACTAATGAACATACGTATGCCTTTCAGGTAGGTGTGAATTTCTCCCTTGATCTTCAGCTGCCACCATTTCAAGTCAGTAAACATCATACTTTAATTTGTCATTAGATGTAAATTCTGAGGGTCTTCAATTCAGAGCAAGGAAGAAAAAAATGGCAATAGCTTTTTGTTTTTAAATAATCCTGTGTTAAGTAAGGTCGGAGTTTGTGTTCTAATCTGTATTAAACACTTTGTTAACCACAGCTTTTTAATAAATAGCCCGTTATTGGTTATTTCTGTGAAAGTTCTACAGGTTGATTGACAAGGACTATTTGTAGGATTGAATGGAGTCTTGGTGAGTCAACTGCTTATTTCTGTTACTAAAGCAGACCACTGGCAATGGCAGATGTTGGTCTGCTGGCCAGTCCCGCTGAGCTCAATGGTAGCCCTGTGTTTTGAATTTCATTGTTTTTCGTTTATTGACGAAGGCATGAATCAAAGCCTGTCAAACCCCAGGTTTGCAAAAGCTTTTTGATCTTCAGAATGTGTCCAGTGTGATTTCACAATCGGCTACCTCCTGTCTTTGTCCCTGTTACAATCCTGACTGAGAAAAGGGATTTTACTCTGTCTGGAAACTTCAGAATACAGCATCACAAAAGGAAATAGCAGAAGAATTTAGAAAACATTCATCAGTGAGCTTGAGCAAAAGAAAGTGTAAGCACGACAAAATTCTAACCCTGAGAAACTTGAAAAATAGTTGATAGGAAAAAATACATGTTCTTAAAAATTTAGATTTTATTATACAATGGAAGTATAGAAGTAGAACCAGCCATTTACCAGCACAATGCCTCTTGCTTGATCGGCAATAGTAAGCCTTTAATGGTGAAAAAAGATCTATATAACAAAATTATTCATAACTCCAGCTTGGGTTTAATGCAGACTTGGTCCTCGGAGTAAGCATGTCTGTTTCTGTTCTTATTGAATGTGTTGTCTACTGCACAGACAAGTAGTAATAAAGCCCTACTGTATCTGTAGTGGTTTAAGCAACAGTCAGTGTACAGTATACAGTATAAGGAGGCTAAAGACACTTCAGAGATTTCTAAATGTCTCTCCCCATGCGTACATTTTATATTGGTGTGTATAAGGTACCTTATAAAGAAAGTAATCTGTTAAAAGCTTGATACTTGTATGGTGATACTTTGAGTCTAGTTCTTTCCTTTTCTTTATTATGGATGGCTTCGTGTGTCATTCATGGATGTGAAGCTGATCTCTTTGATATCATTGCTCCCCTCCACCGTTTTCTAAACTACAGTCTCTAGTTTAGGCCTGTTTTTCACCCCCAAAAATGAATGGAATTACAAATGAACTCTGTATCATGGATCTACAAGAACATAAGAAAGGTTACAAATGACAGGACCTTTGTCAATTGACTGTTACCATTATCAGCTGATTTATAAAAATAGATTTAAATCTCCAAAACTTCCTTATCGCCAGCATTTAGCTTGATAATTTTAAGCCTAACAACTTGCAGGACTTTGGCACAGTTCTTACCGTTTTCCTGAAAATCATTGGGTGTTAAAGAAAAGGAAGGCTCAGCTGAAAATAAAGTAAATGAGCTCAGTGAATCCCTTCTTTCATTTTTTTCTTACTGGTATTTGCTGGGTGGTGTGGTCTCTGATGTATTGTATGTAGAGGGAGGAATGTTGGGAAATCACTTTGAAGTCTCTGCTTTCACTTAATTGCTTTGTGTAGACAGCATAAGGCAATTTCAATCCGTCTAGTTTCTTCAGGAGTGGAGACCGCAAACTAAAGAATTCCTTGCTTAAATGGGATAAGGATGATATCAGACTGCAAGGCTGGAGACTAGGGACACTGTGGAAGCTACTGCATCTCTATATTTCTCTTTGACATCTTGTACCTACAATATAAAGGATTTCTCTTACTGCCGCTGTTAGCAAAACTCTCGTGAGTTTAAATGAGTGGTGCAAACTGACTTATGCTACTGCAGGCAATATTAATAAAGGACTCGGGGATTAATAATGTTTCCCATTACATTATTTGGACAAAGAATGCACAAGCAATATTATGAATCCCCAAACGTTCAATAAAGTCTTATCTATCTATGTTATATAGACATGACCAGACTTTTTTATCTGAAATAATGAATAATCCACGATTATCCATGATTAATAAAAAATGTTTATTGTGCATGTTTATTCTTGTGCTTTTTGTTCATCTCTGTGTGTAGCAAAGTTTCACAGTTTGCTGTTAATGAGTGTTTTACAGTGTCCCCTCTTGGATATACTGTAATACCCTGGCAGAAAATTGCTTTCATACAAGTATGTTTGTTTTTAAAGAAGATCCAAAGTCTCAAAGAGTGTTTCCCCTTTGGATATTATCAGAGACTTTGTTTCTAAGAGTGAAATGCCTTTTGTACTGCACCGTGGAACAGGTCAGGTCTTTCTGTTGGCCAGCGTGTACTAGGAGTCCTCCGTCATGAAGACCACAAACTTGCAGTGCAAAGGACCACGTACAGTAGCTACTGTACTGAACATCTCGTATTCTACTTTCTTACTTACTACCTTAGAGTGGAAGGGGCTCTCTTTCAGCTAGGCCATCACTGAGAAATTGGATAGGTGAGCTACAGTACATATTGCTTTTTTAGTTAGAAGGATCTGAGAAAAATCACATTTCCTTTATAAACAGTGTTACATACAGTAAGTTACAGTATAAAGTATGATCGCAGACAAGGTTTGTTCTGTTGATCAGAGTGAACCTGAAGGCCAGCACAGTACCTGCTGTGTACTTTCTAAAATGTTTCAGGGGGGAAAAACAGGATCACCTTAAGAAAAGGAGTAGAATGAAGCACAAGCACCGGAAAAGGGGATTTTAGAAAGGTCAAGAGAAAGAAACTGATATTGCAACTGAGGCTAATAATAAATAATGAAAGGTTCCTGTAATTGTACAGGAAAAATGTATCCTGTAAATAATGGAAAATGTCTAGATAACGAAGGAGAAATAACTGATTTTTTAGAGTATTTCACTCTGGTGTTCACTAAGGAAGGAGTCAACAGCATGCTTTGGGCAGAAGTACTGTATCTGGGCTACTACAGTCAATCAAGGTTATTTAATCTCCATGGCCCGATGATATCAGGCCCAGCTGTACTTAATGAAACAAGAAATGTTACACAGACGCTATTAGCACAACTCTTCTGACAGACACCAGGGGTAATACCCAAGGACTGGAGAATTGTGAATATAGTGCCTGTTCTTAAAAGGAGTGGCATAACTGAACCAAATCGTTCTAGACTAATATGTCTGAACTCTATTACAAGTAAGGTTCTGGTAAAAATAATTAGAGCCAAACTACAGGATGACCTGAAAAGGAACAGCTGTGCAATGTCAAAGACCGTCCTGTGTATTGACACAGACTCATATCCCTGCTTTCTTTTAAAACACAACGAGTGGAAAAGTTAAACCTTGAGTAGACAGTAAATTTAAGACAGAAGCAACATACTGTAGCCTGAACAGCTGTAATTCGGGGGAAACAGATAGATGGCAGATTGAAAGACTCAGTATGATGTGAGTCACTGCATATTTTCTAACTCACTGAATTTAATGAATTAAATTAAACACTGTTATACTGTATGTGAAGCAGGGTGAACCCCAGCAAAACCTACAAAGATGATACATTCAGTAAAATGCTCTGAATACAGAAAAAGTACTCAGACCCTGTTCTTGGTGGAAGAACCCTTGACAGTATGTACTGTGAATTTCTCTGGATAGACCTGCTTGCACAGTGGGTTGTTCTAAGTTTGTCTGTTCTTCTTGACAAAATTGCTACAATTCTTACAAGTTAAATTGGGAAAGCTCAGGGACTGCAGTCTCCAAGCCTCACCCTCATGGTGCTGACCTGAGTCTGCCACGGAAAAACATTTCTCACTTTAGTCTTGTCTGATCAGAAACCTTCTGCCACATGTCAGCAGTATCTCAAGATGGGTCTTTTTTTCAGTTCCTGTCGCTTGTCCAGACAGGTCCACTCAGTGTCAGTGTACGAACAGTGGCTCCCATGTCAAAAATAGAACTGTGCAAATCTTTCAAGTCACTGTGGGCTTCACAGAGGCCTCTCAAACCTGTTTGCCACTCAGCTGACCACTCAGTTTGGGCAGACCGACTGATCTGGGTGATATGATGCATATTTCACTTCACTGTACTCAAAGGGATAAATAAGCTTCTCCTGATTTGTGCCTCTCTACCACTTCATCCTTGGTTAGTTGTGGCTTGAAATTCAATATCTAAGGGGATTTACATAGATGGATGTTTTTACTTTGAAGTCAAGTAAAACTGCTTTGATTACACACGGACACAGGCCACTGTACTCATTCACTTACCTTTCATAATATCCTTCTGCATGTGAATTGATAACAAAGGGGCTGACGACTGAATATTCAGAATCTTCTAATTGTGTTTAAAAAATGTGTTCATTTTGTCTGTTCACATTGTGTTGATTCTAAACATAAAGCACTATTTAAAAGTGTTATGATTACAGACTCACTCAGTGACGAACGCCAGCTTTGCAAGGAGGTGTCTAGTTTTTCGAGGCGTTCCGTTTGCTTTCTGCTGACAATGTGAGCCTGGACAGAACGCTATGTATGCAAAAAGAAAAGGTTTTTGAGCAAATACACATCCTGCTTTATATACTGTACTGCACGGAAGGCTCTGCTTTGCCTTACCTTGTTCTGCATGCGTCATTATCCCATGTTCATGGGCCAGAGTTCCTAGCAGGCTGGGAGACAGTGAGGCAAAATGAGAAACATTTGTCTGCTGTCCCAGAATGTCAGTAGCTGTATGATCTCCAGGTAGAGTTTTGCACAGCCTCTACTGATGATTTCCTTAACCTCTCCATGAAAATGACATTGAGATGGCTTTGCAGCGCTTCACCGGAGTCCTAATCACTCTGGCACACGTTTTCTCATAAGTGGTCTTTTAATCTCTCCCTCTAGTCTGCCTTCTTACAGGCTTCTGTCTTCAATCTCCTTTCCTTCCTTGCTAGTTCTTACTGTAACTGACGATGGGTTTTCTTCTCGAGTGGCTTCATTTTTGCTGTTCTTCCAGGAGAAAAATCTATTACCTGCACCGGCGGTACAAGTTCATGAGCAGGTTGGTGAAAGCAGCATGCTCTGTGTCTTGTGGAAAATGCATCTATTGAAATTCGAGTCCTAAAGCACCTCAGCTCCCTCTCATTAAAGTCACAATACATATCCATCGCTCTGTTTCCATTCCATTGGTGGTGGGAATGCATGTTTCAGAAAAAAATGGGCTTTTTAGTGTAACCAACAGTCTGTTCAGATTTACTTTAGAATTTATATTTATTATACTGTATTCAGTATATTGTACAGTACGTGTACAAACAATAGCATGCAACTCCTTTTACTAGAATGGAGGAACAGAGCTTGGTGGTGGAGCTGTTGTATTGTAGCTAAATAAAATCCAAGGCTACAGTATGTGTATGGTTATGGACTGGTGCACCACGCGACTTTCAGTAGAAGATATTGAGGGTATTTGAAGTGCTAATTTAATGTACCGTACTTGCTCAGATGTAGAGTACAGTATGTTACATTGGGAATATGGCACCAGGAAGTGTGAGATGGAGCTTTTGGCTTGGGTGGCTCCTGTGTCACAAGAAGCTACTTTTATTTCCAGGGAACTGAGAGAAAAGTATCATTTCCATCTGTTTTTTCATGCTGAAAATCCCAACATGCCTGTACAGGAGAGTGAGCATGTGCTGAAGGAGCTCTCCTGACTGCACAGCCAGCTCACTGGGGCCCAAGCCCACTCAGGCCTGGTGTAGCCTAATGGAGAAGGATGCATTGCATGGGCAGAAAATAATGACAATTTAAGTGGAAAACAATTTAAGTGTTGTCTTGAATGGCTGATGCTTGAGAACATTTTAAGTACAATTACTTTAAATTAAATTACCTTGGTTCAGTTTCGTTCTCTGTTATCAAATATTTAGTGACAGCACAATGACCAGTTAAAAAGCATATAAAGGAACAAGATGTTGCACAGTGGTTTGCCTTGGTCCTTTATGTACAGTGCATTTGACATAGACTGTAGTAAAAGCAATTGGTCTCTGAGGGTTTCTCCCACTTTAAGCTCAGAGCAAGTTAAGCCACCCACCCTTATTTTAGAATAAATGTTCTTATTACAGTCACTTAGCTACACAGACATTTAAAAAAGCTGCTGTTCCTTCTTCCCCTAGAAAAAAAATATTTTTTCCATAAAGTATAATTATGCATGGGAGTAAAAAGGACATGAAGCACAATGCCCAATCGTTTTTGACATCATAATTTTGAAAAAGCTGTCTGATTTTAAGCCTTAGAGGAGTGTTAGCAACGTACAGAAGTTTTTCTGTTGCAATAGATTTCAGCCGTCACAAAAGGATTTAGCGACCTGCCGCCTTCTTCACGGGCAGCCGAATACTGTATCTCCTGATTGAGAGGAAGGTGACCTAAATGCCAAATCAGCTAAGGCAGTTTTTTTTAAAGAGCTGTGGAAGAATGTTTGCTCTGCCAGCGATGAACTGTACATTCTCTAAGGCAATTTTGAAGACCTAAAATTGTCCCATTTTTAAAACCGTGAAATACAACCCCTCTTAAAAACAGACAGCTACTACTACACTTACTGTACGTTTTTCTGGAATAAGTTTCATTAATGGAATAATTACCCAGAGCTACCCATCACCCAAGCGCTAGCCATGTGCAATGGTATTTTTTGGAAGTGCAATCGTAATGTTTGGTAATACCAAAGGGAAAGTGCAAAATGTTCCTTGTAGTGATTAATAAGAATATTAAAAAAGCTTGATATGTTAACTTCAATGTGTTTGATCTTTTTCAAAGTCTGACTACAGTACAAACAGGGCCACATGGGACAGCAATAAATGTGAATTCTTAATGAGTATTAAAAGAAATACAGTAGCTGGTACATATACAGTACTAATATGGACGTCTGTGTAGGTGGGCAGCGTTCCTATCATCAGCATTCCTAAACCTGCTTAAAATTCAGGGAAGAGAAGGGACAACAATTGTACCTCAGTGACTGTACGTGATTCAGTATTGTGAGAAAGCTACAGACAATGGAAAAAAAACGAAGCTTTGCTTACACTGAAGCTGTTGAAAATGACCCCCTGTCTATTTCTTTATCAGCGGTCTAGAAATGTATGCAGCAAATACGAGGGAGAAATTGCAGGTTTTCAGAAAAGTCGGAGGCCCTGTTTGATCGCTAATGCATTCTTCATTCCTCTCCCCCTCCCTGAGGCAGGATGGAGAAAAGAATAAGCAGGTTTCGAGGATGGCTGCCCCGAAAGCCAATGAAATTCGACAAGGACACACTGCCGGATCTGGAGGAGAACGACAGCTACACGGCCCCCTTCAGCCAGCAGAGGATACACCAGTGAGTGCCTGGCTCTTCCTCCCAGCTGGGCGGCAGCCTCACTTGGCTCTTGCCAGAGGGGCTGTGTGCATCCTCAGCAGCTTCCTTCCCTGCCAAATGTCTAGAACAAGCTACACTGCTACAAGACCCAGGAAAAGGGAGGCGTGTGATAGGATGAATGAAAATATGACTCAATCGAACCTTATGCAATTACTTAAACTAACTGCTATTGAAATCTGGATTCTGCTTTTTAAGTATTTGAGCAAGCAGTGAGCAGTCTTACTGAGGCACCCCAATGTGAAGACGGAATTCAGACCCATTCATGAATCATCATTCATACTGTCACAAAAACCTCCATTTGTGTAGTTTTTTATCTTTTCAGGTTGCGCTTAAAAACTCATGGGTTTTTATCCTCTGCATCTTCCATTTTACCAGTCCAAGAATTTGACATTATAACGATGCCTGGATTATTTGCAGGGCTGTTTTGAAACATTTGTACAGCTGCGCACAGGTGGAATCAGAATGCACTGCACTCATTGTTGTTCTGAAAACATTAATATTACAAAACACCTTCTGTTCTGACCCAGGCTGCGATCAAAACTAAATTTTAATTTACTTTTTATTTATATTTCTGTATTTTTTATCTAATGCTGCTTCAAGTCTTAGAAGGTTTAAGCAAAGGAAAATAAATTAATATTGAAATAATACTCTTCCAGATGCCGTGCACTCGCCTTCAACAGCTTCATAGTCGCAGACTGCAGCCTTTGTGGATGACACTCGTGTGTTTGGAAATCCACAGACAGTTCCTAGTGCAGGGTATTAAGTTAAACAAAGGGGCTCGTCTGTGAGTGTGGCAGCACATCAGGCAGCATGAAGAAAGGAAGTCTGGAGATGCTAATGGAATTTAAAGAAATGTGTGGGAGTCATTTATCTGTAATTAGGGATTATCTGAGGAGAGCATGTTAGTATACCACTTCAGCATCATGCTTTAGGTTTCTCCTTCAAAACAGTGTCTAACAAAAAATGAGAAAGATGAAGTGAAATATCTTTCATTTTAGGAACAAGTAATACTGTAGGTTTATTCCAATCTGAAAAGAGAAGAGAGAAAACACAAGGTTTCGGCTGTGAAGCCTTCTTCAGGACACCTGTATAATGAAGTAATGAACCCATTACTTGTTCCTTTGCAGAGTACGCATGCTGACGCAGCTCCCCACCTGAACATTTTTCATTTTAGTTCACTAGCAGTGACTCCAGTCTTATAAAATGAAAGTTGAAATAAAATCACTGGGTCTACAGTTTGGGGAATCCCTAGGGAGTCTAATCGGGGACAGCAGAGTTTACACTGCTACATATTCAAAAGAATCATGGGCTCTTTACTGAGTATGCAGACAGGACCTCAGGTTGACATCCCTTCTGAAGGATGACTTCCTCTGCAGCACAGTATCCCCTGGTTTTCCATAGAAGTCTCCCATACCAGAACTGACAAAGCTCAGCTTCTCCTCACTTCTGAGACCTGAAGGGTAATGTTGCTGCCTAGCTTGTAATTCACAGGGGTGCTGTCCATTTGGAAATTGATGAAAACAGGTGAATATTATTTATTTAAAAGGATATTTTGCCGTTGCATAGGGATATCCAGATCAGCACACGATACACCTGTTTTTGGCTTAAAGTACTCAACTAAAACGATGTTACACGAAGAGATGCCTTTGAATTACTATAGAGCACACCCTGTTCTCCTTATTCAGGCAGCATACAGTATGTTCCTAAACTATCCATGAATAACAAAAAATGCATATACTGGGAAGAGCTCTTCTATTCCACACACATACAGTATATAGTATTTACTGTAGTACACCATGCAGATCAACATATATTTGGCAAATAGCAAAAGGACCTGAGAGAAGCAATACAGTACAGCACAGTTTTCTGTTTTCTGGAATATTATAAAATGAACATAAGTGTACATTCCAGTACTTTTACAGTTCCCTAGCTCAGTAATCTTCAGGACAGGGGGGATGGGGTGTAATTGTGACCCGGGGGTAAAAATAGGGGTGTGAATTGTGAATTCAGCCTCAGTGATGGTCTTAGAAGCTTTGGGCTTTGACAGTGTTCTAGAAGCTTTGGTTCTCTGATCAGTCTGACAATATTCTAGAAGCTTCAGGCTTCTTTGATTGTTCTAGAAGTGATGGGCCTCTTTAAGAAACAAGAGTCCTGCAGCTACAGTAACTGCAGCATGAATATGTTCAGGTTTCGGCTAGCCACTGTCTTTTGATGGCAAGTTACTATACTGGTTTACTTCTAAAACCAATTCACTACAAATAAGCTGAGATCTTTCGATAATTTCAGGATAATAAACCGTTTTTAGTCCGCTCTTACAAACTCTGGGGATACTGTGCTGTAAGAGATGCCTTCTTTTGAGTGAGATTTTAAATGCAGTTCCTGAATACTTGGTCACTAAAGAACCCATGTATCATTTGGAAAGAGTATTAAGGGAATCCCACTATGGGTGAGTACAAACTGACCTAGCTGAAGTTCCCCTTTAATTCAGCTGGTGGAGTAATTTCCCACTTCTCCTCCTGATCTGCTGGTGCAGGATGGCTGCTGTGTGTACTGTATGTGAAGACCTCTGGGATCTTTCAGGATCCCATGCATCACAACCGTTTTACATGCAGTTAAATTATTCAGTCTTAGGGTGATCTGTGAATTTGCAAAGGAATTGGACTTTGTAGATTTGCCTTCTTTCTATTGGAATTTTTTCAGGCTAGACCTATAATATAGCAAATATATGCTCTTTTTTTGCAGTCTTTTTTCTGTGCTATTTTAAAATCGAGGAAACTAGTCAGGTTTTCTGCCAGGCAAATACAGTACCTCCATGCTTTATCCCCAAGGGGAATATCGGTATACAAACACCCCATGCTAAGCTCGGTGACAAGCTTTCGGAGGGAATGAAATGGATGATCAAAGACCGTGGGGAGATACTTGTGAGAACAGAGGAAAGTCGAATACATTATAAAACACTGAACACCTATAGAACTACATAAATGGATCCTAAAATGCACCTTTCATGTGTCTGACAAACGCTGTGGGAAATGAGCAGCATCAGGTTGTTGATTTTTTTTAAAGAACCATCAGTGAAGAGTTAGAAAAAAGCTACCATGCTTGCTGTTGACACACACATTTCACTTTCTGTTGTGCCCTGCCATTTGAAAGCTGGTTTCTGTTTCCATTCTTTGCAGCATGCTTTGAAACTGTGTGTATTGGTTGGATTTCTTTGGTTTGCCACCTGTCCCTTTGAGATTGTGTGGGATGCTCCTAAAGACCAGATGATTGCATGAAATCTTGTATTATAAGGTATCCCACTGCTTTTTATTCAATGACTTGTTTAGCATTTGCACATTTTAGACAGATTTGAGTGTTAAACATTCTGTTTTTTGGAGAACTGTAACACAAGCCTCTTCACCAAGGTAAACTGTAATACCCTGTTATGAAAGAATGCGTTTGGCTTCAGAAGGATAATATGAAAAAGGCTTTAGAGGCCCCCTTATCTGCCTTTTCCCCTGTGTTTAATAAAAAAACAATTTCAGTATAATTACCAATGGCACCGCAGAACTCCGCTGCACATTAACCATGCCTTTATCTACTGTAGCTTAGCCATCCTATTAAAATGAATGTTGTTATAGTATTAACAGATCCACATGTTTTATTTCACCTTATAACAGAATAATAGCATTTTGCTTGAAATCATTCTGTTTATAGCCAAATAAGCTGTGGTGGTACTTAAAAAGATGGATTGGCATAATCCACTTCAATGTCTTTTTGAGACTGTTGTTGAAAGATTTAGGCATTTTACACGATTTGTAAGTATTATTATTTACATTATATATTTACAGTATATTAACAGTATATATTTACAGTATATTAACATTATTATAAGTACAGTACCTCAGCTGATTCTCCCTTCAAAGAAAAGCCCGTTATGACATCGTGTTCAATGCTCCCTGAAAAATGGGTGCTACTTAGGTAGCTGAGTGAATATTCAACTGAGCTCATCATGGCTGAAATAGAGACTTTTCTTGTTTTGTATTACTGTACAGTATGAGCTCTGTAGCTGGCCCTTTAAACTCAATTAAATATCGTAATATTTCTATTTGCTTTAGTTCCCTGTCCCTCATTAGCTATGTACTATGAAACTCTCTGAATCGGAGTCTTAGAGTCATTTTCTCTATTGTGGATAATAAAAATATTTAAGCACAGAACTGCTCCCATCAAACTTAAGAATGGTCCTCTTCCTTCCTGAAGAATCAGCGTTTTTGCCTTTTTTTCTGCTTGACGGTTTCACAGAATTTCTGATTACTATTTTAATGTAGTAATGTACAACGTATCATTTTAATGATACATTTGGCAAAAATTCAATAGTTACATATATATACAGTATATATAAATTTGTCTAAAATTGTTTAATGTTTACCACTAATATAAGTATAATTCAAATTGATTGAATGTTTGTAACATTAAACAAGTGAAGGTTGCATGCATTTTAATTCTGTATATATTAAATAATATAATGGATGCAAAATATAATTATCCTTTCGAGAAGTCCTCAAGGAAAACACCAGTGAAACTGAGGACCTTTCTGTTTACATCAAACACACAGATGGTACCAGAATGTTGGTGGGAAAAATATATATTTATTTCTTGTTATGGTGTGGATGGTTGTTTTAGAAACCCAATTTCTAATGATGCTGGGGACGTAAAAGATTTCTTTTTTTGCAGCTTTATTATCAACAATAAAGACACATTCTTCAACAATGCCACAAGAAGCCGAATAGTTCATCACATTCTCCAAAGGATAAAATATGAAGAAGGGAAGAATAAGATTGGTGAGTAATTGTAACCATTATTATGCTGATGTGGGCTATAAGCTTTCCCCTTTATTCTTTTTCTATGTTGACCACAGACCTTTTATGACAATTAAAAAGGAATAATGCCTTTAAGCAGGAGCAACTTCTTTACACAAAGGGTTGTGGGAGTATGGAACATGCTACCAGCCACCTCATTAAAGCCAATTCCCTGGCTTCTCCTCAGGAGGCGATGGAGGAGATCCTCAGATCAACCCGTTACTAAAAACCAAACACAGTAGACTGGCCAAATTGTCTCCTGTTGTTTGCAGCCTTTCTTACGTTGTTCTGAACTTCTTAATCAGACACCAACAATCGATTAAAACAGGAATTCACGATGGAATGTCACTTTAATATTCCACTATAAGTATTAGTGCAGTCCACAAAATAAAATATACATCGAGTGACTAACATTTATTTTACAGGACTGCTCTAATATTCATTGACTAACAAACATGTGCTTTTTCATCTGATGCTTGTTCATTCATCGTCCATTCCTTTGTGCAGTTAGTTAGTAAGTGAGGTAGGAAACTAGGACAACTACAGTGCCGTGGGTAGAGAGCAGGCCTGGGTGACACCGGCTCGTCTTCCCGAATCTCAGCCCCGGCCCAGGAGACTTGTTAGTGACCCAGCCGTTCAGACAGTCTTCTGTTGAAAGAACAAAATACGGCATCAAGTAAGGCGCTACAGTATGTCAGTGCGTGCTGGCTGGGTCGCAGTGACCAAAACATGACTTTTCACTGCTACAAGATTCACTTTTTGACTTATTGCACTGATGAACTACAGAGCCAGAAAATGGTGTTATCACGGAAAGTTTGGGAGGAAGACAACCATTTTAATACGAGATATAATAGGAGGTTTCAAAAACATGGCAAAGTAGCTTGAACCAGATTCCCACAACCCTTAGTGTAAAGACGCGCTTCTTGTTCAGAGTTTTAAATGCGTACACACCCAGTGTCCAGCTGTTCCATGGCTCATGTTTCATTCTGAAGGTCTTCCTCCCCCAGGCTACCAGTAAAGGAGGATCAGAAACATGAAGGGACTACATATAATTTTGGAAGGGAATTCTAGCTGTACCTGTAAGATCAGATCACTTTATTGGCCATATACAATTTCTTGCATGAGGAATTCGTCTTTCCACATACCCAAGCTTGCTCTCCATGAGACACACAGACAGGGAGAGAAGCTTGGGGTCAGAGCGCAGGGTCAGCCATTGTACAGCGCCCCTGGAGCAGTTGGGGTGAAGGGCCTTGCTCAGGGGCCCAGTGGAGTAGGATTCCTCTGCCAGCTGTGGGATTTGAACTGGCAACCTTCCAACCACAGGCACAGATCCTTAGCCACAGAGCCACCTCTCCGCCCGTATTAGCTAACTTAGTATTAGCTTACTGCCAGCTACATGCAAAATTGTCACAAAGTAAATGCGAACCGACTACAGGAGACGTGGGGACAGGAATACGTGGGATTCAGCAGTGGCCCGTCTAGGGGTAATTCGGTTGTAAAGGCGCAGGTGTAAGAAGGAAGGCATCCGGCCCTGTGCTACACCTGTTCATAACTCTTAAGGCGGTACGGCAGTTAGTACTTCTGCCTCCTTTCTCTTGTGCCTCGGCTCTGATTCTGACATGAGGCACCTTCTGTGTGGCGTCTGCGTGTTTCTACCTTTATTCTTACCTTGCAAAGACATGCTGGATTGTCCCTGTGTGTGTGACCTTTCGTGGGCAGCCCACCTGTGATGTGGTGCCCTGTGCTCCTGGGATAGGCTATGGGTGACAGTGGTCATTACCCAGAATGCTTTCTGACAATGAGGGGTCAGAAGGGTTTCAACACATTCTGTTTTGTCTATAGGCCTGAATCGACTTCTGACCAATAGTTCCTACGAAGCAGCATTCCCCCTTCATGAGGTATTCTGTCTGAATCACTTTCTCTATAGCTATTGTACATTTCGGTCTTACGATGTTTTGTTCTGAATAGATTAAGTCTGTCATTGCTTTAATCATGACATTTTCTTTATATTTTGTATGTAACTCAGTGAGAATGTAGTTATTACTTTAAAAGATTTTCTCTGCATGTCACGCCAACGGGCCTTGATTCTGGCCTTTGCTTCTTGTCTCTTGCAACGCTGGCTGATAACATTTCAACGGAAGAGAGGTGTAGCCACTACATGCTGGCTAACATATTGTTTTTGGCAAGCCGTGAAATGGGTTTGTGGGTCTCTGAGAGATGGGTGTTCCTGTTCAAAATTAAAGCAGTTTCTGTCCTGGAGTTATCATGTTATCTCTTCGGACAAATCCAAGACAATTCCTCTCTGTCCCCACAGGGGAGCTACAGGAGTAAGAATTCAATAAGGACCCATGGAGCAGAGAACCACAGGCACCTCCTGTATGAGTGCTGGGCCTGGTGGGGAGTATGGTATAAATATCAGCCTTTGGATCTCATACGGTAATTACCTTGTGTATTTGGGCCGCGGCTCTTTCATTACTGATAGCAGTAGTACTGAAACAAAACACGATTACTGCATTCAGTTTTTCCATGCTTCCTTGTACAACTGATAATGACTTATCTGCTCATTTTCCTACAAACATTACACAACACTGATGAGTCAAATGAAATCTCTGCGCTGGGATTTCTGGTATCACCGTCTTATTAAACATAATTAGCATTTATTCCCCATGACACCTGGAAAGCCTTGCACAGCTTCACAGTTAACAATGTGTTGAGCCAGGTCACACATTAACACATTAATTGTGGTGTATTTGGTAATTCTTGTTACCTATTGCATTGGAATTCATGCTCTGTGCCTCCATGTCAAACCATATTCCTAAACAACAGCTATTAGACAATATTTGCCCTGCATGGTGTATTCTGATGCCTTTTAAGCTCCCCTTGCCCCTCCAAATAAATAAACCTACAGTCTTTACTCTCAATCACAACAGAAGCAGAAAGCCTGTCCTCACATTTCCATGCAGCTGGTATGGTTCTGAATCGATGTGTCGAAGGAAAACTCGCTTTGAAGGACAAAATACAATAGAATGAAAAGCTGAATTATTGCACAGATCATGTGGGGGAAAGGCCGCAATGAGGAAGCACTTCGACTTGCACAGTGAAAGGTTGTCATTTTTCCACAGCCGGTATTTTGGTGAGAAGATTGGGCTGTACTTTGCCTGGCTGGGCTGGTACACTGGGATGCTCTTCCCTACTGCAGTGGTTGGACTCCTGGTCTTTCTGTATGGCGTTTTCACCCTGGACAGCTGCCAAGTCAGGTATCATCACAGCGAGAAACTGAATACTGATCGAGACTCATGAGCTTACCATGTGTCTTGATCACCACAGAGCAACAGAGAGATTCCTTGAGTGAAGTGAATTCATGGAGTACGTAACTAATTGAGTAAGCCCTTGTTTTCTTACAGTAACAGCTTACAGTTTCTTACAGCACAGATATGGCTGGGTAAGGCACATACTGTTGGTTTTGGTGAATTCAAAACTCATACTGACATTAAAAGGCTTGTAATTAAAGTGAGTTAAATAAAATTTAGGCACTGACAAAGAAAATTGTCTATAAGCACTAGTAATCTTTGCAAACGTATACTAATATTATGAATATTAGTATATATTATACTAATGCTTTTGAATCAACCTGGATTTTTTCTTTTTTTTTTAAATATATGAATGGTATTATCAGAATTAAAGTAAAGCTTCCGAACAGTCAATTTCACTTAATAGTAGCATCTTTAGTAGAAGTTGTTTAATGTAAACTGTCTGAATACATATTTCTGAATTTTGAATATTTCACAAAGTTTTGAAAAGGCTAAGGTAAAACATATTTTTAAAAAGAACTGGTGCTGGTCTGATGAAAGATGCCAATGTTAGTATTTCTCTGTGTTTCTTTTAATTTCCTTTTCGGTTTTGGTCTGATTGGATCAAGAGCTGTTATTTACAATTGATCATCTTTGATCAGAGCTCAGGCAGTTTCTCGGACTAATCTCTGCATTTTCTATCTATCCATTTGGAGGCCACTGTATATTTCCTGCTTACTGTCTAAAGAAATGTGATACAGATGAAAAGTATCATATAATCATATAACTCATATAATCATTTACTACTGTGGTGGGAACAAAGAACTATCTTGTAACACTAATAAAGTTATATGAAGTTTTAGAAAACACCTCATTTGATAAGTGTTTAGAATATACAGTATCAGTGTTTTACACTTTCAAGCAATATTCAATTATTTACAGTTTCACAAATGTATTGACACAGATCTGCCTTTTTTTAGCTGGACAAATTGTGGTTGGCAATTGGCTTTAAATATCTACTTCTGTTGTGCTCCAGCTCATATCTCCATAGCGTTACATGTTGCATTAACAAGGATTTAAACACAACACACAATGGTTGCAACCACAATCCAAAATACAATGTTTAATCTTTTTATCCTGATGCTTTTTATCAGTTAATAGTGTCCAATATGTCTCCTACTCACCCTTTGCAAAAGCTTTTTCCTAGGAACTATTGAATTGGATGGAAAAAGAAACTAAAAACATTGTGCACAGTATATTCAGTATATACTGTATATATCAGTATGATTTGCTGTGTACTGCATACATACTGAGTATCTATTTATCTAATGGTTTTTAATATTGCCATTTATTAAGGCAATGGTGTTGTATTTTAAGTCATCATTTGTGGTGTATAATTAATGTTTTTGCTCTTTCAGTAAAGAAGTCTGCCAAGCAACAGACATCATCATGTGTCCTCTGTGTGACAAGTACTGCCCTTACATGAGACTGTCGGACAGCTGTGTCTACGCCAAGGTACTGTGATATTTTCAGCGTACAACTGCACCTTCGACCATGCAGGAGTATGATCATTTATATTTGTGTGCTGACACGTATGATACAGTGATATCTGCAAAGTTGGAATCTCGCAAGCTGTTGAGCTGCAGAAAAACAATGCAATAAGATCATTGGTCAGGCAGGTTGTTTTGCTCTTCTGTTGTGAAAGCTACAGGAATGGAGAACATGTGCCTAAAACTTTCAGATTAATCCAAACAGCCTTAGGGGCTACTGTCTGTCTAGGAGTGTGCAATACTCTCCTAAATTCTCCTAGGTCTCTTGGTAATAATGTACCAGGGCCTGACTGGATATACTGTTACCATTCTGAGCTCTGCCCCACCTTCAGAGAGCATCAGAGCAGCACGCTCTGGAATCACAGATTGAAAAGAAGCTACCAGCTTTCCTGTGGGTATCACATTTCTGAAACGTTGGCTGTCTGCGAGAGAGATTTGTCATTCCCAGACTGGTTACTTGTCAAGTCTACCCAGATAGCAATAGAAGCTCTTGGATTCCTGGATTGTGGTATCTGAACAAAAACACAATAGGAAATATGAATAAGTGAGAAAATCTTCTATTTGCTTTTGTGTCACAAAAATAAATTAAGGCAAATTAAGTGATCAAGAATCTTATTTGCAGAAGCTTTTCTCTTCATGAGATTGTATTTTGATTTTGAAAATAGTACAGTAGGGGGAAACCTGCAATGTGATTTAGTCAGACACAGCCAATCATCAACATGCTAACAAAAAATAAAGCAAAAATTAAGAGTTTTCAGCATCATGGTAACTGTATATGTTATGTTATTATGAATATTAGTATATATTATATACTAATGCTTTTGAATTAACCTGGAATCTTTCATTTGTTTTTAAATATATGAATGGTATTATCGGAATTAAAGTAAAGCTTCCAAACAGTCAATTTCACTTAATAGTAGCATCTTTAGTATAAATTTAATGTAAACTGTCTGAATACATATTTCTGAATTTTGAATATTTCACAAAGTTTTGAAAAGGCTAAGGTAAAACATATTTTTAAAAAGAACTGGTACTGGTCTGATGTAAGATGCCAATGTTAGTACAGTATTTCTCTGTGTTTCTTTTAATTTCCTTTTCTGTTTTGGTCTGATTGGATCAAGAGCTGTTATTTATAATCGATCATCTTTGATCAGTGCACAGGCAGTTTCTCGGACTAATCTCTGCATTTTCTATCTATCCATTTGGAGGCCACTGTATATTTCCTGCTTACTGTCTAAAAGAAATGTGATACAGATGAAAAGTATCATATAATCATATAACTCATTAATCATTTACTACTGTGGTGGGAGCAAAGAACTATCTTGTAACACTAATAAAGTTATATGAAGTTTTAGAAAACACCTCATCTGATAAGTGTTTAGAATATACAGTATCAGTGTTTTACACTTTCAAGCAATATTCAGTTATTTACAGTTTCAAGTTCAAGTTTATTAGTCAATCCAGTCATATACAGGTATACAGAGGAGTGAGATATCGTTCTCCAGGTCTACGGTGCGAATATAGGCAAGACACTGACAAGACAATGTAGACATAGACATTTCTGACAGGGTACAGGGGACAGAAAGTGCAATGTGCCGAGTGCAATTTACTTTACAGCATTGTGCAAAGAATACAGCGAATACAATGTTTCCAGATTTGGTAGTAGGTGCAGTAGGTACCAGGGTGTTGAGGAGCCTGACAGCCTGTGGAAAAAAGCTGTTATGGAGTCTGGTGGAGCTGGCCCCTATACTGCGAAACCTTTTACCAGATGGTATGAGGGCAAAGAGGTTGCAGGAGGGGTGGGAGGGATCGTCTACAATACTAGAAGCTCTGTGTGTGCAGCGTTTGTGGTAGATGTCCTGAATGGACCGAAGGGAGGCTCCAATGATGTTTCCTGCTTTCTTAATGTAAGCAAGTAATATAAACAATTTTTCAACAATCTCCAGTTTTTAGGCTAGACCTGTTCTGGACACAAACTAAAACAAACTAGTCCATTATATGTTAAACATGCCTTACCAATAGTCTTCACAATCTCAAGCTGCCAAACTAACATTGCTTAACAGTTTTGTCATAAAACTAGGACACAAGTGAAAACTACTGTATGTGGAAGTGCATTTAAAACTGAAAACAGGAGGCACTTCTTTACACAAAGGGTTGTGGGAGAATGGAACAAGCTACACAGCTATGTTGTTGAAGCTGGACCCTGGTTTGAACAATATTAATATTAAACTAAAATTAACATTGAATCATAGACTGTTTAATGTTAATCTAAGTGAGTTCATGAGTGGTTTTGATCAGTCTCTTAAGAGGGACAATAACTCTCTAGTCTTCTTATAATTCTGTACCCACTCAACCTTTATATGTGAACTTCCTTATTTCCTAATAGTATTTTCAGGTTTGAGGTGACTAATTCATCAGTTTAGAATTCAGATTCAGTTAATAGAAAGTTTACAAATGAAAGATTATCATGCAAAGTTAAATTTGTTTGTGAAAACTTTGTATTTGTCATATACTGTAGAGCATTATGATTACACTCATTTTGTGCTCAAATTGAGATGTGTTTTTGAACTGTGGAAATTTGAGTTTATGCACACATTTTCCATGAGGGAGATGATAGAATATTATATACTGTAGGTATTTGAATGTGCAGAATTATGGTTCGCAAAGTGCTCGATGTTTATGATTTGTTTCTTCTATAACTGTAGGTCACACATCTCTTTGACAATGGAGCCACTGTGTTCTTCGCTGTTTTCATGGCAGTATGGGGTGAGTTCATGTCATTTTTCAGCATAATGTCCCTCTGTGGACTGTACTGACTTTAGTATTCATCTGTACAGTATGGAGTGCTGTATAATTGTTGTAACATTAATTATTTAATCACAAACTATGACAGTTAAACACTTTGATTTCACCTTCCTGGTTACCTCTCTAAGGTGTAGGGTTGATTTACAGTAGGCCATGATTACAGAAGGTTTTGGTTAGGAATTGGGCAACGATTGTTTAGAGCTAAGGGAAGCATTAGGTTGTAGAGCCCAAGTTAGGGCCCAGTTCAGGGTGTGTTGCAACCTAGAGCTTAGAGTTAGGCTTCAGATTTTTTTATTATAGAATTCATGTGTCTTTTAAGTGCTCCTTTAGTGTCATTTTAGCAACATAGAACAAAATACTACCATGATTCCTCAAATTACCAACCAGCACGGTAGCAGTCTCATTGCCCTGCGAATGAGGTGCATAAGAAGAGTCATGAGCGCTGAGTAAGTTCAGGTACCTGTCCACAGGGAGCTTTGCTGAACTGTACCAAGTTGTGTTCATTCAGGGTTTTGTTATAAAGCACTGAAGGAAGTGAATGGTGATGTGGAATAGTTTGTGATCATGTTTAGATTTCTGACATACAGTATCATGGTCATGGACTGAAGACTTTTTTTCTTTTCATAATTGGAAATAAGTGGAGATACAGTATACACTACCTTTCTGACCTGGGACTGAGATCTTTTGAGCTACACTCTCTGTATGAGAACACGTGTACATGCCTCACTGAGACACAAAATCTGTTCCAGATAACCCTGATTCTGCTCATTGTTAAATGATGCAAACTAAAAAGGCAAACAGCTAATCCCCCAGAAGACAGATTGGGCATCAGCACAGATCAAGGTTTTGACACAGATTGAAGCATGTCAAAGCATCTCTGAGTGAGATTCAAGGTAGTCTGACTGAAAAAGAATACATTATTTGCCCTAAATTCTCTTTTCAGAGCTGTTCAGCATGTTTGGAAAGAAGTACAGTTGTGGTTTTGTTTATTAATGTATTTCAAAACCTACAACCTACAAAAAAACACTGATGTTTTATGAATAAAAATGTGTTAAAAACAAGACTACGAAGGAACTATTATAAACATATTTTATGGCGAACATGGTAAACAACTTTAAATGACAAAACAGAGGATTCAGATCACATTCTCTGTCTTTGTTAGATGTTAAATGATCCAAGGACCGCATTCAGCATCTGATCCTGGATCAGACTGAATACCCTCATTGACTCAGCATTCATGAGATTACTCAGAAGTTTGTGTGTTCTGTGCAGAATCCTTTCACACCGTTTCACATTGTCGCAGGCAGTTAGAAACCCTCTGTTGTACTTTCAACTGGAATGCATGTGGGCACCCTTCTGTTCCTTCTGGTGCTGCCGAGTTTGAGATCACAGGAGGACTGGATGGCTCAGCGAAACGTCTCTGAGTAATAAACATCACAGTGATACTGCAGCACATTCCAGTAATGAGACAGAGGACTGGAAGGGGCAGAAAATATTTCAGCCTCTTCATCTCCACTGTGGGACTGGGAGAGTTTTCCAGTTAAAGCCTGGCTCTTACTTTCAGCAGGAACTGCAACAGAAAAACAATTATGTTGAGATGCAATCTACTGAAGCTTACTGTAGTAGAGAAAAAAAAAGATTGTTTATATGACATAGTATTGCGTATATGGGAAGAAGGTATGTTGTTTATATGATAAGATTGTTCCATTTAAACTTGAAACTTAATGCAGTTTTACAAGAAAATTATTGCGTTTAAATGCTATAGTTAATTTGTGAACAATGTGGCCTACGATATTAATACTGTATATTGCATTGTAATACAGGCAATAATATTATCCTGTGCAAAGTAGCATCGACTTTAACAACAGTAGAATATCGTCACACTCCTCGTTTTGGGGAAAAAAGTCTAAAGGAACGTGTGTTCTGTCTTGTGTACACATGAAGTACAACACGGTGTCAGTAAGCATTCCCAGGTTAAACGCGTGTGTCTGTGACAAGTGGAAATGACACGACTTTCCAAACGTATGTTATTCTTGATGTGAAGCTGACTGTCAAGTCATCGTAAAGGTATTCCGTTCAATGTTCAAAGAGCCGGCAAAAACCCATGTACAGTTCACGTTTCTGCAGTTTCACGTGAACTGGCTTTTGTATACTGCACATGAAAGTGGATCACTGTCAGTGAGCATTACTGGGTTAAACGTGTGTTTGTCGCCGTTTCTCTGACAAGTAGAAATGACACAGCTTTCCAAACGTACAGTATGTTATTGTTATATGTAATGTGTTCTTGTATGTAATAATGTATTGTGAAATGTCATTAGCTTTTTGATCTGGTCTCCTGTCCCAAGTTCTTACTGTGCTGTTAAAATATGTTCATCTGTAGAAACACCTTTTTCAAACTACACGGAATTAGAGACACTAGTCTTCAAACTGGACTGCTGGACTGCAGTTTTCTGGGGAAAAAAATGCAAATCTGGAGCAGGAGACCAGAAGACATTTGTACACATACTGTAGTGCCATGAGGAACACATTTCTATGTTCATGTCCAGAATCCAATGTAATTTCCTTGACACTTTAATGAAAAGTTTAGCTGATTGTTGATTAGATTGGTGGAACCTGAGTGTTTATACCGACCTCTGGAGGTTTAGCTTTGTATTGCAATGCTAGCAGAGCAAGCCATGAAAAACCCTCAGTCCTACAGATGCTGTGTGGCAGCTAAGGTTTACAGCAGTGTTACATGAACATGCGGTTTATGACATTTACACATTCCTACAAAGAATTCAATACTAGGGCCCAGAACACTGAATACAAATACAATTAAAAACAAAGACCACAAATGAATATTATTTAGCTGAAGTAAGGCAAGTGTGGTTCATATTGTTACAGCTCTAGTCTGGGTTTTATTTTTTTATTTTGATGGGAATGGTGCTGTGGGTATAGAATTCACAAAGGGCTTCATTAAGTCAGAGCCCTGCCCGGACTTCTGTCCGTCATGTAAAGTGCATATTCCTGCGGGCATTAAAAAATCTTTTTATCTGCTTAAACTGCTTGGTCAGCACAGTTTCCTTAGCCTTCAAAGTATCACTATTTTGTGTCATCCATGCACTGTAGCATACAGTAGGTACTTTATTCAACAGGGTAACATATGTAAAATCTGGTGGATACATTCCTGAACACAAATATGTCTCTCCTGGATGTTTAAAGGAGTATTTAAACAGGGTGGAGAATGATAGTTTCAGGAAATACAGCTAACAAATCCTTCTGTATTCAGAAAAAGCACTGAGGGAGCAGTGTTTGCTGCCTCTGGTGATGACCTTTTTCACCTGCATCAAACAGTCACAGTCTCACACAGTCTAACTGCGTGCAGGCGGTGCAGTGGCTCTGTGGCTCAGGATCTGTGCCTGTGGCTGGAAGGTTGCCGGTTTGTATCTGTCAGCCGGCAGAGGAATCCTACTCCGTTGGGCCCCTGAGCAAGGCTCTTAACCCCAGCTGCTCCAGGGGCGCCGTATAAATGGCTGACCCTGCGTTCTGACCCCAGGCTTCTCTCCCTGTGTGTGTGTCTCATGGAGAGCAAGCTGGGGTATGCGAAAAGACAAATTCCTAATGCAAGAAATTGTATATGCCCAATAAAGTGATCTCTCATCTCTAATGGATTTTCCGGGAACTCTGTATATTTGCATTTTCTTTAATTAATACATTGGCACTGGAGAAGGCCAATACGCTCAAGTACAGTTCGAGAGATGTTACTGGTCAGTTTCCAAACTTCTAAACATTAAGAACAATCGGAGTGAAAGGCCTCCCATTACAGCATTCCTGCTCTCCTCATCAGTTTTCACATTTTAGAACGATAATACCACACACGGTTGAAAGCGTATTCTTTAAGCTTCAGACAAACATAAAGAGATGTAAGAAACTGTCAGAGAAGTAATTGTGCGTTAGCTTACTGCTGTGGGGGCATTTTCCGTCTGAATGTCTGCTGTGAGGAATCGATTCCATTTTCCTCTTGTCAGCTCTCCAGGCTTTGTACAGGAAGAAGGTAATGACGGACAGCTGCAGCAGGAAGGTCATGACACCCAGCACAACTACGGTGGTGTCTTCACAAAGCACACAGACACAAGGACATGGAATAAACACGCAACAGCATGTGATGCATTCATGTGTGAGGCACAGAAAGGGCCAACAGTCTTTGGAACGCCTGCGTATGACTGTTTTCTAGTTTATTTTCCAATTGACCTGTTGAACAGGCGTGTTGAATCAGGTGTGAGTGCAAACAGCAGCATTGTGAGGAGGATTTCTGTAATAAGATTTGTTTGGTGCAAAATAGGTTGGAGGACTGAATCCTTTCCTCCTTCTTCCCTCACTGATTTAATCCTACTGCGGCCAAGCGAATCTCAGGCCCCAGGCTCGATTTTGAATGATGGAACCTTCTATGTGGAGTCTGCCTGTTCTCCCCTGTTTTTTTCTGGGAGCACACATTACTTTCCACCTCCTAAAGAGTGAGAGGTGGCTTGGTGAACTGGTGTCTTGGGTGAAATGTGGAAATGCTGTATCAGAATATTCAGCATCAAATACTGAAAAGGTCTTTGTATCAGAGTATTTAGAAAACAATACTATAAAAGGCCTTTTAATGTGTGCATGTGTTCTGCTCTTCTTTGTGCATATGAGTTTCACATGCATAAGGAGAACTGTTTCTCTGGAAAAACTGAGACCATTAGGTATGGAAAGTTTAGGTATAAAACATTCGTGAAATCAAGAGAAGTATAGAACAAGTGATGTGCAATTTAAGTGTGAAGGGTGATGTAATTAAGTGCTTAATGGGATTTGCAATTCATCAGCAGGAACAGGGCTGTGTAATGCTAAGAGTCTGTAGATGCTCACTGAGAGAAGAGCACATGATTTGTTCTGTCTCAGCTGTGTCTAGGTAAGGGTTTAACTCGAATATTCGGGCAATCGAGAAAAAGCTTGTATTGTCATTCACAGTCCATAATCGGCAGAACCACACAGTGCATGCTGTAGAACTGACCGTCAACAAATTAACCTGCATAAAAAAATATAATTTCTATTCTTATGGGTAATAAATTTGTGAATTAAAATATTAGCCCTGTTTTTTTTGCCATATTTGTTAGAATGTTATTACGACAAGAATTGAAACTGTCACAGCTGTAAATGCACAATATAAATAAAATGACCTATAAAAAGAATTTGACTACTGAACTACAATCAGATATTTTAAAGACACACTACTTTACTGTGTTTTATAATAACATTTCACAATGTGTGCCTTATTCAATCGGAATGTTGAATTCAACCTTGTTCCACTCACCAGCTGAATGTGGGATACTAGTGACAGAGACCCAGAGTGGTAACTGGCCCCTCGGAAGATGAGTTTGATTTCCTGGAGTGTCCATTGATGGCACAGCTGAGTACCTGTCCAGGGGTGGAAGTTAGAGAGACAGGAAGACACAGATCATAGTGTATCAGTGCATCTGTCTCTCTGACATCAGTAGATGGGGCCGGAGCGGTGGCTCTGTGGCTCAGGATCTGCGCCTGTGGCTGGAAGGTTGCCGGTTCAAATCCCGCGGCCGGCAGAGGAATCCTACTCCATTGGGCCCCTGAGCAAGGCCCTTAACCCCAACTGCTCCAGGGGCGCCGTACAACGGCAGACCCTGCGCTCTGACCCCAAGCTTCTCCCTGTCTGTGTGTCTGTGTCTCCATGGAGAAAAGCTGGGATATGTGAAAAGACGAATTCCTAATGCATGAAATTGTATAGGGCTAATAAAGAAACATTACATTACATTACATTAGTATGAAAGTAGTAAACCTCAGCTGAAAAAAGAAAAGTTTTGACTACCTTGTTTTAGTTTACTCCGCTGTTCTCAGTGATAACTTGCACTCATAAGCTAAGAAGTTCAAAAACACTGGCTATGATACGTTCCTTGAGCAGTTTGTACAGTATAAAGCAATCCATTTTGTTTCTAGAATGCCTTTACTTGAAGGGTGCTACTGTAAGCAACAGAAAAGTAAAACGTTGGGCCCCATAGTGTTTGGAGATGGAACTGCAGCCTGGGTTTCTGCGGGCTTGAGCAGGGGCATAAAGAAGGACAAGCATGTGCTTTATTTGATTTGTTTGGATTGTTCTTCCTATAATGTGGAGCTGTGAAAGTGCTACTACTCTTTGTGCTAAACCTGCCTAGAGACTCTGTAATTGACAGGTTTGGGGATGTTTCCACCACCCTTTTGGGTAGATGGTGGACTGAGTAAGAACCGGAAGTATGTCTGAAAATTATTTTTTCTGGGTGCTAACTATCAATCGAGAGTGGTCACATCTGTATTTCTTAAAAACAAACTAAAACTAAACAGAAACGGGCAGAGCGGTGGCACTGTAGCTCTGTAGCGGCCAGCAGAGGAATCCTTCTCCGTTGGGCCCCTGAGCAAGGCCCTTAACACCAACTGCCCCAGGGGTGCTGTATAAATAGCTGACCCTGCGCTCTGACCCCCAGCTTCTCTCTCCCCCTCTTTGTGACTCATGGAGAGCAAGCTGGGGTATGTGAAAAGACAAATTCCTAATGCAAGAAATTGTATGTGGCCAATAAAGTGATCTGATCTGATCTTATCTTATCTTAAACTTAAGTCTCCTCATCTTACTTTTTGAACAAAGTTCAAAGTTAAAAAAAAAGAACAAAGTTCAAAAAGTTGTAACAGTTTTAAGTGCATAGTGCACTCTTAGTAAAACCTTTACTAAGAAAGGTCATACAGATATATGACCTACAAAAGTCAATTTCCTAAAAAAACAATTGTCACATTTTTCACACTCTTGTGGTTACTATTTTGTAAGTCCTCCTCTGGCAAAACACCTCCTGTAGAGATCTGAGGGTTTTGCACTCCTGAAGCAGGTGTTAGATCATTACTAAAAGCAGAACTACTGCAGGTACTTCAGGCTCCTTAGTGTCCATGTGTGAGCTGCCTTCATGAGTCTGAACCTCAGATGGTGCGTGGGATCGAGCACTGGACACCGAGAATGCCTGTTGAGGACATTTAGTTTGTGTGTCGCTCACCACTTCATCGATTTAAATGAATGCTTAGGATCATTGTCATGCTGGAAATTTCCAGCTGAGGTTCAGCTTCTTGCTGTATGGTATTTGGCCTTAAAGTCCTGGTAGATGTTGGAGCCCATGATTTCCCCAGAGTTAACAAGGGTTCTACACACGTAAAAACATGAGAAAAGTTACAAATCCGAGAAGGCCATGTGACCCATCTACAGTACCATCTACCTCCTTTGGCAGTTGCTCATTGATCTGAAGCTCTCATCAAGCTCTTTCTTGGGGAAAAGAATGACTGGGTATCTTGTTCCATCGTCACACGACCCTTTATGTAAAGAAATGCTTCTTATTTAAATACCCTTCCACATACTGTAACTTCCACATCTCCTCTAGTACTCTATGTGTTTCACCGGATCTCTTTGTCAATGCATATGAGAATTTGAATCAGCTTCCATTGTAGTCTTCTCCATCCAAGACGCAAAAGATTCTGGTCCCCCGGCCTGTTTGTGCAAGACATTCCTATAACCCCCAAAACACGTGTGATTTGTAAATGTGATTTGTTTGCTGTTCTCTGCACTGATTCCAGATCAGATTTATATCTTTTTTTGTAAAGGGGTGGAAACAAATAAGCTCCTTGCCATATTTCACAGGGCTTTCCCAACATGGGCTTTACATTTGTACACCTGTATGATCTAACTCTGATGAGCGTGTCCTGAAAGCTCATCTGACCATCAGACACAATTCCAGATGTCATTCAGGTGTAGTTTGGCAAATTCAAATCACCTCCATTTGTGCTTCATCCTTATAATCCAGTCCTAAACACATAAATTCAACATCATGTGGGTGATATTGAAGGTTACCTGTCTACAATATATAATAAAGTTTCAACAACATCACTTTTGTACAATCAACACCATGTCCCAGGTGTGTGCCGAATCCTGAACTTGGTCCTCCTTTCTAGGAAAAGGACCACAGGTACTGTACCACAGGTAGCAGCGATGCTGAGCGCATGCTGAATCCAGACGAGAATGCAGTGCAAACTGAGTTTGTCATTTTTGAATAATAAGCACTTAACATAAAAAGGAGACCAATGATAGGTTAAATGATAAAAGGATGTTGAGCTTATGTCATTTGTAGAAACAGGTTCTGCCAGTTGAAACCTGTAGCCCATTCCGGTGCTCCAACAATTTAATTGTTTTCGGACCACTTGCGTGTGTTTGATGGGGAAAAAAAGTCTCATTGGTTGGCTTATATCCTGTTAGCTGCACTTGAAAAAACACAAGGACCTTAAACTTTTCAAACTTACATCGGTATTTCTGTAAAGCAGACTATGCCTATTTATCTGCTTATCTATCTTTACATGAGGCTACTGGTCTGTTTTAAATGGTATTTTATCAAAATAATGAAGCTACAAAATAACAGGAGATTATTCCTTCAGTTTCAGCATTTTCCATTTTTCAATTTATCTAATGAACATGTGGCAGGGACAAAAGAACATGATATGAACAATTTTTTAGACAATTTATGAGCTTAGTCTGACATCCTGCCAGCTTTCAGCCAAGTTCTCAAAAGCTCAGATTTACAGCAGACTCTTAGGAAGCCTGTACGTTAATGAGACTTATAAAAAAAGTACAGAGCACTTCAAACTAAGCGCAGAACTCAGCATAAATCTACCCGCATTTAGCTGTCCAAACTACCATCCCACAGTCACAGAATTGCCATGAATGACACTTTGTCTATATATTATTTATATATTATAAAACACTATATCTGTACTATCCATAATATAGCTGTATTGTGAACTGACTATATACAAGTGAGGTTATTGTGTTCTATTGATTATCACCAACTATTTGGTCATAGAAATGTAATAATTGGCAAAGAGAAACACTTTGGAACTACTTTTTATTGACCAGATTCCAGTACACACAATGAGTAACATTTATTTGGTACCTACCTTGATGATAGTAGTGAAACGCAGGATCTTTTGGAAAAAAGGCAGAATGAGTCTGGAATTTGGTGCTGCTTGTTATATCCTCAAAATGTTCTCCGCAGTGCTCGTTACTGATCCAAACGTCCAGTTAAATCTTCTCATCAGTATTCCAGACTCATGCTAGATGTGGGCAAGCCTGTCCATTGTCTTTCAGCTAGTTCAAGTAATATGAACTGAATCCAAAGGCAGCTAATTGGTTACTAATCTCAGAGACTTATCTCTAAAAGATTACAAATAAATGTGAGGTAGTCATGTGACTTCTTTGTAAAAAAGGCTTAAAAAAGGACTTTGTCCATAAAACAACGAAATTTCCAAACATTCTTTTAATGTTCACACTGATTTTAGTACACCAAGCTACAGGTTATGACATACAGTAATTATACTTTATTTCCCATCAGTTGTATTCCCATAATCTCATCCGGTTTTAGAATATACTGTCACTGAGCCAAATGCAGTTCCTAATGAAAGATTAAACTATTCATTCTGACAATGTGTGTGTATCCATTAGTGGCAACATTAATAATAATAATATAGCGGACTTTGTTATACACTGAGCAGCAGAAAACTATTATTAAATTATTTGGATTGAGTTAAGGAGACAAAATTATGGATTCTGGGTACTTGTCAAATTTTTTCGATAATGCAATAAGGTTCATATCACTGTTCTAATTTAAAGAACACAGCCCTGGTTAGGACCAGCAAACCATTTCTGAAAACATGACTGCATAGCAAATTTCTTTCTTCTCTTTCCAAGGGCAAAAAAGGCACATGTACCCAGAGCAAATCAATAACACTGATCAGTTGTGCATTCAATCCCAATCTGAACAGCTGATCAGTGTTACTTTGTCTCGGCACACGATAATTCAGAAACAGTATATCACCGACCCAGCGTGAAATACTTTCATCCAGTGGGCAACTTTAAAATCATTTCCCTTTTCAAAATGCCTTTGGTGATTAGAGCATCATTTACTAATACTAATCAATTTAACTAATTCTCTTTTGTTTGACTTTAATAATTCCTTTTATTTTGCTTGCAAGTAAGATATCAATTTTTGGACATAGAGGTAATAAATTTGTCATTTGGGCGGCAAAGGGTTGTTCTGGTTAGAACCGATGCTTCACAGCTCACGGGTACTGGGTGCAGCTGTTGCCTGACATACCTTCCGCATGGAGTTTACATGTCCCCCTGTGCTCCCACGCTCTGGTCTCTCCCCACCTTCAGATAACACACTGGATAGGTTACGTGGTGTCTGTGCTGTACATTTTGTGTGTGTGCAACCCTCCCTGTGGCCTGTGTTTGCATAATCCTTATCAGGAGTAAGTGGTTTCTGATAGTGGATAGATAGAAATTTGTTATGGCTTGCAAATGTTGTTTTCTTGTCCTGAAATATTCCCTTTATTAGGTGTGGTTAATAACACTGAGCAATCAGTGGTCTGTGCCGATGATAAATTGCTCTGTCACTGTGGCCCTGTCATTCCATCAAGACATCTCATAAGAGTCCATTCAGCTTTTCCTTTGTTTTCTTTTGAAAGCAGAACGTGATAAAATGAATGCAGTGTTTTGGTGTGTAAGCTTTTATTTGATCAATAAAGAATTGGTGGCATTCTGCAGAAATTGCTGAGCGATGCTGAAGAAAATTAAATCTTGTAGGTCTTTAATGAAATGTCTTGACTGGTTTCTTGCATCAGTAAAAGTGCCATCTGTTGGGGTCTCCTTTAATATTTATATTGCTTCTTGTGTTCTAATACAAGGTTCCCAATTCTAGCCATGAAGAGGCATACCTGCTGGTTTTTATTACAGCGGAGTTTAATTACTTCATTGAAGCCTTAATTGAAGTAACAAGGTCCTTCACTTTAAATATTTTCAAGATTTTACTCAATAGTTGTTAATAGTTCTTTACTCAATTTTACTCAAGATTTCTACTCAATAGTTCTTAACTTTGTTACTTATTAAATAATAAGGAAAATATAATAAATAAGACTCCAACATTTCAGTTCAAGAGCTGAAAACGGTCACAGAGCTCCAGTGAATCTTGTAACTAAATGAGGTCTGTGTGGGTCCCCAGAACACATTGGAGATTACCTCATAACCATTGTATTTTGTATGTAAAATGAAATCCCAGACTGTTAGTTAAATTAAAGCTTCAATTATGTAATTACCTGTAGGTTCAACCGGTAATGACATCCAACAGGTCTCATTTCTCAAAAGCATTTCTGAAACAAAATTTACATTTACAATATAATAATAATAATCAACTTTATTTTACATAGCGCCTTTAAAGGTGGCTTCTCAAAGCGCTTTACAGAATGACGACAACAACAATAAAAAAATACACAAGATATGCACAATGAGAATACACAGTGAGAGGAGTCAGTAGATAGGGGTACTGAATACAGCAGGAGCAGAGGGGTAAAGAACAGAACCAGTTAAGTAAAGGCTCTTCTTTAGAAGAAGGTTTTGAGTCTGGTATGGGGGAGATTAGAGAAGGTGACTCTCTGATATCCTTGGGGAGAGAGTTCCAGAGCTCTGGGGCATAACAGGAGAAGCCCTGTCACCCACAGAGTGTAGACGGGCTTGGGGGACAGTTAGGAGACCAGAATTAGAAGAGCGAAGGTTGCGAGGTGGGGAGTAGAGCGATGGTAGCTCATACAGGTACTGAGGTGCCAAGCCATGCAGGGCCTTATAGGTGAGCAGGAGGATTTTGAAGTCGACACGAAACCTGACAGGAAGCCAGTGCAAGGACTCCAGGATAGGAGTAATGTGGTCACTTGCACTAGACCTGGTCAGGATTCTGGCTGCAGAATTTTGGAAATACTTTTGTATTTGTAATACTTTTGTGAGTTTGTTCAATGTGGATTTAGAAACTCCAGCAAGTAGAACATTACAGTAGTCAATTTGGGAAAACACAAATGTGTTGATCAGCTTTTCAGCCACAGTTAGCGATAACATAGGATGTACTCTACTGATATGTTTGAGGTGAAAGAAAGATGTTTTGACAATATGCTGCACATGTGGGTCAAATGTCAAGCCTGAATCAAATATCACCCCCAAGTTTTTCGATTTAGACTGAAGCTCAAGCACAGTACCATCCACAGACAGGGTTACAGCACTGGCTTTACAAAGTTGATGGGGTGCCAATAAGCATGACATTTAGTCCTCTTTCTTTCAAAGATGTTTCTTTCCTACTCAGGATATGGTCACCCATGGTGTCACCTATAATATGCTGATGCTTTCTTCAAATGCTGCACCTTGTCTTGGGATTCAGTCATTGTTGCCCCTGAGCCGCACACTGTTGTTAATGGACTGAAAACGCGGTGTGTTTCAGCAACAGTATTTCTGGAGTTCTGGAAGAGGAGGAGGGCAGTGCTCGCCTACGACTGGGACTTGATAGACTGGGCAGAGGAGGAGGTATGTTGCGCTGTAGAATAATCACTGGACAGGTCAGAGACGGATCTGATACAGTAGCTAATCAGTAGTGATAAACTTCATTCCAGTTTTATGTATGTTTTTGTTTACCTTTTATACACTAGAGATTATTTCTTGACCAACTGAGCCATAACATTTTCACTACAACAAACTGCTTGTTAAAAACGTTTCTAAAACTGATTTTTAGGGTTATTACTTAACACAAAAGTATTACCTCAGGATGATACATTATTCTGTGATCTTCGAGGAAATAAATATCAAAGAGCAACCAACTAAGCCATTTTTCAGCTAATTATGCTAATTAAAATAAATGCTAGTTTTAGTGCAGCATTTACTTTGAAAGGGTTAAATTGTTGCAGGATAGTGTCTATGATCGAGCCAAAGGCTGTTTTTTTGTGTGTCGTTTTCAGGAAGAAATCCGCCCTCAGTTTGAAGCCAAATATTCAAAGAAGGAGAGAATGAATCCTATATCTGGGAAGCCAGAGCCTTATCAAGCTTTCACAGACAAGTGCAGCCGGCTGATCGTGTCGGCATCGGGGATATTCTTCATGGTTAGTCCCTGTAGCCCCAGCCAGCATGGAAGTGTGTGACGGGCTCAGTCCCACCGCCACTGCAGGGAGGGGCACTGCCAGAGCCTGGCTCAGCTCTGGAGCAGAGCCAAGGATACTCAAGAGCAGACAGGACTGTGAATGGCCAACAGATTCACAATTGCTGTTTTCAAAAGCCAGAAGAGAGGAATGGTGCCAGACATTCCTGCAAAAAAACTGTCCCATGCTGGTTACCGGGTGTACCATACAGTGCTTTTGTTCATGGCTTTTTAGATCAGATCACTTTATTGGCCATATACAGTTTCTCGCATTAGGAATTCGTCTTTCCGCAGACCCCAGCTTGCTCTCCATGAGACACACAGACGGGGAGAGAAGCTTGGAGTCAGAGCGCAGGGTCAGCCATTGTACAGCACCCCTGGAGCAGTTGGAGTTAAGGGCCTTGCTCAGGGGCCCAATGGAGTAGGATTCCTCTGCCGGCCGTGGGATTTGAACCGGCAACCTTCCAGCCACAGGCGCTGATCCTGAGCCTCAGAGCCACCACTCTGCAGCAACATTCTGATGTTTAGAATATCATATCCATCTGTTTTCCTTAACCGCTTAATCCTGAACGGACCGTGGTGATCCAGGGCCCAACATGATGGGCTCGGGGTCTCCTGTACCCTTTGGACTGGTGAAGGAAACCGGAGCACCCAGAGAAGTCCACACAGTCACTGTGTAAACATTTAACCTCCATACAGACGGCACCCAGGGGCAGAATTGAACCCCAAACCTAAGATTCGTCGAGCAAGAAAGCCGACTCCCATGGCACCGTGCCATTTGAGAATATTCCTGTATATCTCCACAGTTTTGAAAACATCACCCCGAAACCTCCGTATTCATCTCTTTTTTCAATGATGAGCCCATATTGCAAATAAAATCAACCCTTTCCTTTACCCATTACCCAATTTATCATTTTCGCAGTTGTCAATTTCTGTACGGGCCACTGACTAATATTTCTGTGGCAATGGAAATCCTTTTGTAAAGGCTTGTTCTGTGACTTCTTATCAGACTCCCACCACAAGACCTCTAAAAAAGCTACCGTATGCCTGTGCCTAACCATTCCTTCTAAAACTAAGGAAGTGATTTGAACTATGATGCCAGCAAATTTAAAATGATTTGTTTTTTGTATGTTTCTCTTTGAAAGATAAACTTTCATTCTAAAAGGGGCAAAATCCATCCAGGACAGAACCCCCAGGCACTACCCACAGTCTGCTAATCCTGTGGTGTCACTGACAAAACTGCTTGTTTTTCCAAAGGATTTATTGTCTGAATTCCTGAGTACAAACTACTGCCCTGTACTTAGTCACTTAACATGAAAGAACAGTGAGTCCAGCAGCTATAAGGTTCAGATGACCAGCAGATCACTGCTGCTCTCTGTCAATAAAGCCTGGGTCAGTCTGGGAGAGATTCTGGACTCCAGTAGGAACGGAAGGCCAGCATCTAATGAGATTTGCATTGCACTGGGGAAGAGCGATCGATGGGACTGGCTTTGTTTTTCATCATGTGCTCTCAGCACTTAAAACAGTCATCACGCTGTCTCATGTACCACCAATCAGAGAGTCTAGCCCTGTCTCGTGGGACATTAATCCAGAGGAGGAGTAAACTCAGCGAGACCGCAAAGTTTATTCATTCATTTAAGTCCTAAACTCGGTAATAGATTCCCTCCTTTTCAATTAATCAGTGAATTCAAACTTTGAATATACAGAAAAGTAAAACTAAGAATTTTAATGTAATTCTAAAATAGTCCCAAGCTTTAAATTCCTATTTGATCCTACAAGTACTCTTAAAATAACAGAAATTATATGAATTATCCAACTAAGTTGGAATGGCATATTATGCTGTACAGTACCTTGCAGAAGTATTCAAACCCTTACTCTTTTTGCACATTTTGTTGCTTTAAAGCTTAAAGTCATGACACGTTTAAAATGGCAATTAAACAAACCTACTCCACAAAGAAAATAAGTAAACAGATAATTAATATAACTAATATAGTTCGATTATTTAATGTAATTCATATCTAGGATTCTAGATACTCTCCTGGTTTGAAAGGATTTCAAAGCTATGAAATTAACACGGCCAAAACAATGGGGGAACCAGCTAAATTAGAAATTCATCAACAGGTTTGGCAAGACCAGTTGAAATCATACAGGAAAAAAACAACTCTCAAAATGTCACCAGTCGGTTATTTTATCAGGTTCCGCTTTGCTTAGTAGGTACTGAGATCTGACCAGATTCAGCTTCAGGTTTGCTTCCAGCTACAAACTGAATGAATGCATAACGCCTGTCCTGAGTCTGATCTATGTTGTTAATCTTTCCACCTTGCAGATCTTAGTGGTGATTGCGGCCGTTTTTGGAATTGTAATTTACCGTGTGGTGACTGTGAGCACTTTTGCTGCCTTTGACTGGGCTTTAATCAGGAATAACTCTCAGGTTGCAACTACAGGGACTGCAGTGTGCATAAACTTCTGCATCATCATGCTGTTGAATGTGGTGAGTATGCAGTTAATGTGAGGCTTTCACAATCATTCCCACTTGCTCACCTGATGACCTTTATTTTTATTTAGTTCAGGTGGGCAGCTGCGTCAGCGTGCGTAGGCTGCAAAGGAACAAGTAATAGGTTTGACACCTGAAGAAGGCTCCACGGCCGAAACGTTGTGTTTTCTTTCTTCTCTTTTCAGCAGGGAATAAACCTACTACTTGTTCCTTTTTTTTAGATGAGCAATATGAATGACACATTTTGAAAGTATGCGTTATATGCCTATTCTTGTCTTCTTTTAACAGTTATATGAAAAAGTTGCCCTTCTGCTTACAAACTTAGGTAAGCATCTGGAAATACAAATTTTATATGTATGAGTTATCATTAGTTTTAGTGCTGTGATCAAATTGTACAGCTGTGAGAGCATCACATCTTCTTCCAGATTTTTGCCTGTTATAAAAGGTGAGCATGATAATGAAATACAGTACAATTCCTAACAGAAGAAACAACTTGATTCTGAAGGCCAGCATAAAAATAATGCTTTGATCAAGCTAAGTACCTAATTAACTTAAATTGCTTATTAACTATCATAAAATCAGAAAACATCTAATGACAAAAGTTAGATACTGCATCTGAATGTTTTTGAGAATGTTTTGAATGCCGTTGATTTCGCAGTATGCCAATCCATAGGGTTAGACGTAAAACTTTTGACAGTTATTGACACTGTTATTGTCCATTGAGTAAATTGTACAAGTCCACTGAACGCTAATCCAGCAGGTGGCTGCAGTAAGGGTAACTCTCCCTGTCCTTCTCTTATAGGCTGTTGATTTCATATGAGGCCAATGCTGAATAATGCTGTATTGTCAGATCTTATGCCTGGTACAGTGTATTATATTCATATGTAATATTATATTACATTCCGAATGTCTGATGCTTTCCTCTTCACAGAACAGCCCCGAACAGAGTCTGAGTGGGAGAACAGCTTCACTTTGAAAATGTTTCTATTTCAGTTTGTCAACCTGAACAGCTCGACATTTTATATAGCCTTCTTCTTAGGGAGGTAAGTGCGCCACTCATCTCAGAGCTTGTGCAGTCACTCCTTCTCAGCAGCGCGGTTCACTCTGCAGCTTGCACCAGCGATAAGATTGAGTGAAACGGTTACTTTAAAATTGTTTTATAAATTCCGTACCTGCATACAATAAATACTTGACTCGTTCCACCCTGTACATATTACCTTATTTCACGATTCTACATTGACAGTACAGCAGAAGCTTTGCCTTTAAAGCCTTTTTTAATAGGACGTACTTTCTCAGGATACCCTTTTCTGTTTTTTGAATAATTTTACCTGTTAGTTCTGAAGAAGCACATCACAGCTCCAGCAGTTTTAGTGCATGTGAGTAAGGGAAGAGAGAATGCTTTTTTTTTACAGGTTACTTAAACTGAAAATTAAAGTTTCCATTTAAAGAGACTCAAAGGTAAATCTTAAGATGATAAATGTTGTTTTATATAGTGCCTCCTGGGACACATCATCCCAAGGTGAATACATTAATACAGTAAAGAGAATTAAAAAGCTAGTGATCAACACATTCTATTTACGTCATTCTTGTTTACCAAAGAAACCGCGCTACAGATTTAGACAACATAAACAATGAGCTCATTTATTACATCATCCCACTTTTTCCTGACCTGGGGTGGAAGCCAGCCAATGACGGGCAGGGTATGCGTGCACAATACAATAAGAGTTTCCCAAATAGTGAGCCAATCAGAATGGTCATTCACAAGAACACCTACAGTAGCTTTACAGACAACTAGGAATTTACTGTGCTCCGATTATAGAATATTAACTCGACACTTGTTCTCAGACTACTGTAACATCTGCGGCTCACAACATAAACCTCTCATATTGCCACATTTCAGTGGATGTTGTAAAACTCAAATACAAGTTTCATTGTAACCTTACAGGTCTGGTAAGGTTCATTATAAACCAAACGCTGAAACATGCTTCCAGCTAGACTGAAATAAGTCCATTATTAGTTTTGACAAATGACCAGATGTGACCTTTATTGTATTATAATCCATTCTATTCAATTGAAGTGACCTTTATTGTAACTATTAAAATTAGTCGTTGTTTCTGTCTGGCAGATTCACAGGCCGACCGGGGGCCTACCTGAGACTCATAAACAGATGGAAACTGGAGGAGGTGAGCAGACCTGCGCTCGTCTGCAGCAGCACGCCGGGACAGCAGGGCTATCGGTCTGGAGCACAGCTTCTAGATTTTAAAACCCTTGTCTAATGAGCTTTTACTGGGATTAATAACACAAAGTTTGTGAGAAAGATAAACCCTCAGTTACCTCCAGTCCCCTGCTCTCTTTGGTATAGATATGTGCATTCATCCCACCATCACCCCTGCGCCACTCATGCTCTGTCTTTATCGCAGTCCTGCTACTGGCACTTGTCTGTAGCTACTGAGCTAACTTGTTGACGTGTTGAGCAAAGGTTGACAGACCTTTGCTCCAGCACAGTATAAAAGTATACAAAAGCTCTGGGCATCTTGTATCAACTTTCACAGCCGTGCTGGGTCGACAATATCCCAGTCAGTCTCTCTCTATGGCAGAGGGGGAAACCTATCTTCAATCCCACATGGAGTTGGCAAGAAAGCGTTTTAATGAACATGTGGCAAAAGGTTTGGTGGTCAGAACAGACAAAACTGAAACTTTTTTGTCTGAGCGCAAAGGATCATGCAAGCCAAACATAATGCATCACTCATCGCTTGCTACTGCCCAGCATGGCCCTGCTGATGAGAAGCAAAGGGCTTTATACAGTAGAAGCACACAGCTTTCAAAGTGTTACATTAAAGGTAGTAAATGGGAAACAGGCGTGAGTCACCGGGTCCCCTAGAGCATGTAGCAGCTTGGCCACAGGTACGTTTTGTCAGTGCCATTGGCCAAGCATCAGGGAGTCTGATACACTTCCCCCCAGCGTGGGAAGAGCTCGCCCTGGTGTGTCCAGACACAGCGGCTTGTTCTCACACAGCAGGAAGAGGTAGATTCACCTCTGGGCTGCAGGCTTGTCTGCTCTCCAGCCCCCAGGGCGCGAAACAAGTGAGTCTGTCTACATCCAGCAGTACACATGGGAGTTTGTAGATCGAGGGTGTAATTAACAGTAAAATAAGAAAGCAATTCAGATGATGTCCACTAACTGAAAAATAGCCTTTGATGTAGTACAAACTACACGAAGAACTATTATTGTTCTTCTGTCATTTGTGCTGTTGTTTATCTCTCTCTCTCCCTCTCCTCTTGTGGTGATGGGACCCTGTCCTGCAGTGCCACCCTAGTGGATGCCTTATAGACCTTTGCATGCAGATGGGAATCATCATGGTGCTCAAGCAGACATGGAATAACTTCATGGAACTGGGTTACCCGTGAGTACGAGAGATGTGTTTTTGAATGCACGACACAGTGGGTATTCGCTCTAATGCCTTTGTCTGTAAGGTTCACGAATACACATATTGTAATTCAAGCTGTAATAAGTAGGCTAAGTTAAATCTTTACCTAATGAAGCCTTGAAATGAAATCTGGACCAGGAAGAGGTTTGATTTAGTGATTTTCCTCAATTACATACATCCTGTTGGATGGCCACTTGCTGATGAAAAAGAAATGCTTAGTAAATCAAGGCTGCAGTGGCTTTGTAAAGTCTTGTTAATCTTGTTGTTGGAGGCACCCAATTGCCCTTGAACTGGCCAGAGGGCCACAGAAGTGGGCGCCAATACTTCCTAGGGGCTCATCCTGGACCTGTCAGCACCTTCTGGTATATTGTATTACGTATTGCGCTATGCATTGTATTTGTCAGCATCTTAGAGTACTGCTAGTAAATAGGGAAAACAAATAGGATAATCTTTTTGCCGTAGTTGCAAATTAGTGTCTCCTGGCTGGCGTGTCATAATGTATTTGTGAAGATCTGTGGATATCTGAACCTAGCTCACCAGGTGAACTCTGTACTAAAACTAAGTCTTGAATGTGTTGTCTTAGGATCCTTCAAGGACGAGTCTGGATGAGCTTCTCAGGTGCTACAAACCCGCTAAGCAGGGCAGGCTGTCTGCCCTCTTCCAGTTTATAACCTGTCTTGCTCCTGGGTTGTAGGGCACCCGCTGCAGAGGTGGGAGGTGAGCTGCTCACTGTGCTTTCTGCCTGCAGGCTGATTCAGAACTGGTGGACACGGAGGAAGTTAAGGCAGGAACACGGCCACAAAGCCAAGGCGAGCTTCCCACAGTGGGAAAAGGATTATAATCTCCAGCCTATGAATGCCTATGGACTGTTTGACGAATACCTTGAGATGAGTATGTGCATCCCAGCCATTCCCAATCCCAATGTCATTCACCTGCATTCATTTAATGAGTGATCAGAACACTGTTTATTGTAGCATCTTCATAAGCACTCTTTTCTATGCTTTATTCTCATGCTCACCTCTTCTAAACTCTGTGGTCACACCACAACATTTTTCACACGTTTTAATAATCCATCCCCACTTTCATAAAAATCCATTTGGCGAAGGAAAGGTTCCTGCTCTAGTTGGCACTGCTGTGCTGTGTCCTGGACATTGCTGGTCTGCGCCTGGCCTGTGCCATTAGCCAGCCTTGTTCAAGATCCTCATGCAAAGTGCCACCTTTGGCCAAATAGGTCAGGGTATCTCCAGTCAGCCGCTGCCTGCCAGCTAGGGTGCAGAGGGACTCACATTGTGTTCAATGGTGAAAGGCTCTGATGAGACACAGAGCTCCTGTGCAGGTCAGTGCGGGTCAGAAGTTGGCAGCAGAGTGTCCCCATTCAATGGGGTTTTTATCGAAAGTGCAGGTAGAATGACAGCAACCAAGGTCTCCCTCTCCTCTGCTATTCTTACTCCTCCGTGACCTCACTTACTAACTGTAAATACCACCGAAAGCCTCACTGTTACCCACATTCAACTTTGTGTCCCTCTTTTTCCCATCTTCACCCATACAGCTGCCCCTTGGTCGCAACTTACTCCACACTGGGGTCCCAACATCTCTATCCTACAGGCAGGGTATTGACGCCAGACATCTTAGATCTGACATACAGTATCACTAAACATTCCTGGAAGCTTTTTCTAAATGAGTGATGTTAGTCCTTGTGAGCTTATAATTAATTGCTGATTCTAAATATAAAAAAACATACCACACCAGCTCTTCGTGTGGGGTGCTTGGGTTACAAACTACAGTCAGTGAGACTTGAGGTTAGTGACCATCATGTTGTCATGATAGCTGGGGTCTGGTGAACCTGGCCAAGGAGAGTAACAGATTTATACTTCACTAACCCACATCTAACAGCACAGAAAAACCTTTTTGTATTTAAGACTTATTGTTGTTCAGCAACAATAATTAATGTGCTTCTGTAGGTGCCAGCTAGAAAAAATCTGAGACCCAAAAATGAAAACCCCCAAAACTTTGCCCTCCTCCACATAAAACAATGAAAATTCAGCTTGATGTTTTTTGTTTTTTTGTTACATTCCACTTGAGGGCATTTCTGTGTAGTGAACCTTGTATAAACTGGACCAATCAGTTCAGCTCTCTCCTGTTCCAGCAGCAGCACATCATCTCAGACCGTAATGTGAATAAAATGGAAATCCAGTGCATTGTTAGCTATAAATGGTCTTTGTTTAACAGACGGGAGGAGGTCAAATTCCAATATTGCATTCCCACTTTCCCGTGTAAAGAGACTCCCTGGCTGCCCACAACTCTGTGCACGTCTGTTCCAGCTCCCCTCCCTCCTACCCAGCTACACCCTCACAGCTGCCTCCCTGACTCATTCCTTGTAAGTGAGGGAGGTTATGGCAGCTCTGTACTCAGACCAGCACTGTCATTTCCTCAGCCAGGAGAGTTAAAGCTGAAGCACCTAGTACTCTGTCCCTTTCTATTCGTCGGTTCATTTAGTCATTGTTAGAATTTTACCAGACTTCTAAAATGCAATATAGTCAATTGCCAATATAATGGGATCAAACCTGTTCAGATCTGCAAAACCAAAATGTTGCCGTGTGCATTTCCCCTTTTATGTAGAATGTGTGGTAAGTTATGAATCTAATTAGATTTATGAAAAAATATTTTTTGCAAACAAAATTAGTTAGTCTTGCATCTGTCATTTTTTGCTTGTAGTTATGGCCAAAAGAAATATTTGCTTACTTGGTAATCTAATTTTTTATTAGCTTCAATTCTGTTTAAAGTACTGTACAATCATACTGTTTGTTTTACTATAAATAAAAAAAATTAAAAATCATAGCCACGAATAAAGGTACAGTATAGTTTCATCATATACAGTAGTGTAACAGTGCTCAGTATATATACTGTAGTATGTGGTGAAGTGTATGTTCTGCTGTGGAGGGAACACCCCTGTATAAACAGATAAATCTAGAAGAAAACAGGTAAAAACACATCAACAATGTTTATACTTTTCTGTTTGTTATGGGCATAACCTGGACGTCAAACTTGACACAATGTTAATGTGATTGACTGGCGTGGCCAAATTCGTCATAACATTAAGAAGGTAGGAGCCTGGAGAGATGTGTGCTATCCCTAGACTGTTCCTCGCTGCAGGTTCAGCAGATATCTTATCTCTGGGGTCACAGCCATCGCTGGCCCTGAAGAGCAGTAGTGACCCAAGACCTGAACACGCAGGGACGCGATATCTCGTTCCATTAATTAGTTAAAAGCCGAGCTGGAAGGAAAACTGCTGAAATGTGCAGCCTCCCAGGGCCAGGAGTCAGCGCTGCTGTAATCGATGTGTCCTGAGAAAGGCCAATTCTCACTCCCCTTCATCAATACTGCACAGCGCTACCGGCGTCGCACTAATTACAACCATTCCTGCTGAGAGGGGCGCTCTCAAAACTCAGCAGGAATCTGCATGTCGCTGGGAAGCCTGGACTTACGACCAGGCTGCACGATGCTATAACGATACACATGTGTACAGTTCAAAAATTGTGTGAAATCAAATATGCTATTTAATTAGCAAAATTGTCTCCTACATATGCACAAGATGAAGAGTTACTGAGGTTGCTGGCTACAAAACCATTCCTAGATTGAAAATAAATCATCCGGTGTTGTTTTTAAACTGTACATGCAGTATTATCATCAGGGGCAGTGAAAGCTTCAGAAGCTGCATGGCTAATACTGTTGTGAATCCGCCCAGGCTTAAAATATTAAATGCTGATATCAGATTATTGCATCTTCAAGCTGATTCACCTGTAAAATAGTCAGCATTAAGAAAATATTGTGAAATTACTTGTGTGTTACAAAAATGAATGTATGAAACTGGAACTATATTCCCACTACATTACTATGAATTATTAACCTGCGTTTGCAAACAATTTCTATTTTCAGTGGGAAACTTCTTCACAAATTCCTTTACTTTGATTACTTTTTTGTTTGTATTTACAACCTTAAAACCTAGTCCCGTGTACACCAAAATCACGGAACTCAAAGAATGAGTTTCATTTTAATGTAATTTAAGTGACTTATCTCTTGAAAAACACATTTCTCCTTAAACTTAGATTTGCAGTTTGCAGGCTGGTTAAATAAAGGAAAGAAAATCCGAACCCTAGACACCCTACTGCTGTGAATGAGTAGATCTATTCTATTAGTTCTTAAAATGAAACTCTCAGACACTACCACCCCAAGGTTAGGAAACCAGAGGTGTTTTTTAGATGTAAATGATGAAAAATAATCTAAGAACCACAGACTGAGTTCTGATTGATCACAGACTTTTCAATTTAGAAGGTGGGGAATTGTCTGAATTGGCTTTAAGGATGCAGTTCGATTTTGTTTAACCATGGTACTTGATATAAAACTCTGAGTAGTAAAAGCTGCAGAACACTGTTTTAAAAGAAATAAAGCTTTAGTTTTTAATATGGCAATCATGTTATAAATTCATGTAAATCACAGTTTACAGCAATGAGAATACAATGGCCATGAGACTTGTATTAGAAACCTAGAGAAAGTAAAATTAAAAAATGGTTCTCTTTAGGAAACATCTTTTAATGTTAATTTCTCTTGTCTTGATTTGAAAGAGAGGACAGAGGCCCAAGACAAAATTAATACAATTTTCTGTAATTACTACTACAAAAATAATACTATACAGAGAATGTTAAGATAATAACATTTCACTTCTGGTTGCAGGAGGATTTATCTCCCATAGCCCTATAGAGCAGCACAGGAGTTTTTGAAGTCTCCCCCATGGCTGTAGGCTTGCCTTCTCTGTTCCCTTTTTTCCTCTCTTGCCCATGGCTCAGGTGGACTTATATACCTGAGATCACAACTGCACTAATCAAATCCCGACATTGTACCATGATCTGATAGGAACGTGTGCTTTTCATCACAGGAAGTGACACATACACATTAGGCGTTGTCCACTGAAAGGATTGGATCACATAAGAGACTCAGAAGTGATTCAGAAAAAAGACAAAACAATGTAACTACCTAGTGAACACAGCTACGTGCATGAGGAACATTCACTAATTTAACTGAAAGAACAGAGATAAAAGGTAGAATGACAATGATTCATTGTTAAAATATAATGATGGGATAGGACAGTTGGAACATAAAATGGACTGGGAAAATAAATTATAAGGAAGACACAAAGCAGAAGGTAATATAAAAAAGCAAATGAAATTTTAAACTTACACTTGGCTTGAATGATTGTGATGTGGCATTGTAATGAGCTAACTCAACAGCTCTTAAGCACAAGCTATATCTGAAATCTCAGACATATAAGGTTCAGTATTTATCCACAGAACACCAAACTCTAATATGGCATTCAGACCCAATATATAAAAAAAAGTCACCATATTGAACTGAGACACACACAAGCACGATGATGAGTTATATACTCATCTGTCCTACTGTATAGCTAGAACTATGACCATTATTATTTTCCTCTTCTTCCCCTTGAAGGCTCTGTTGTCTACTGCTGTGACTCACACAGCCTCTGCAGTGTCATCAGACCATGCGAAGAACAATTAAACCCCAGATCTAACCCAGAAATGTTAGAGATAAAGAAGGCTGTGAGAAAGACGGCTGCTTGCTTTTGTGAAGTGTTTGCCCATCCCTCTTGAGTAATGAGAATACACTGCGCAGATTATTTTGCTACATTAGTATAAAGCTGTATTGTTTTGCTTTAATCCTTTCCAATTAACTACCATGAAGGGGAAATTTAATTAGGAATGTTTGCCATCTGTGACAGGAAGGTGTGAAATCTTGTTTCTGGAGCCCTGGCGCTGTTTTTACAAGAACTTAGCAATTATGTTATGAAAGAGTTCATGTGTTCAGGTGTCTAAAACAGAAGACATGCCAAGACAACCCTAGTTCAATCTTATTTTAGTGTGACATGAACACTGACGGTGCCTAGGCTTTTTCATAATCCCATTATTCTGAGATGGTAAAACTCCCTCTGGGACCCCAGTGTATGCTGGTTTTAATGAAGTAATTCTAAAGATATCTTCATTGTCAAAATGAACAAAGCTTTTTGATGCACAAGCACAACTGTCTTTATCAGGTGCTGAACGTCTTTTTTTGTTCCAGTGTGGAATTTTATGAGGTTGTGTTTAACGAAACTTTGGATATCTGCTTGCTTTAGTTCTGCAGTTTGGCTTCACCACCATATTTGTGGCTGCATTTCCTTTGGCTCCTGTGTTGGCCTTATTGAACAACATCATTGAGATCCGACTGGACGCTTACAAATTTGTTACTCAGTGGAGACGACCTTTAGCTTCAAGAGCCAAAGACATCGGTAAGATGTTTTTCTTTCCCTGAAATGCTGTATGCTGTGGTTTAAAATTAACTCTAACAAATGAACAAGTTAATCTCATGTAATACTGTATAACCTTGTTTGTTATGTTGATGTTGATGTTTGTTAGCTAAATGTACTGGATTTGTGTTTCCCTGTGTCTTGGGGAGAAGAGCCAGCATACTGGCTTCAGCAACATGACTGGGTAGCTTGTTCCAGACTTTGACAACACTTTGTGTGACAAAGTGCCTGCTCTTCTCAGTTTTAATGTAAACTTCAGTTTAGTCTTCATTGTTGTCCTCCGGTTTGTATTTCTTGTTGATACCTCCACTGATCAGACTAAGGTATAAAAGTGACCTGACAGCCGTGTAGGATGATACCAAATGTGTTTGTTTTTTCAGGAATCTGGTATGGGATTCTGGAGGGTATAGGAATTCTCTCCGTTATTACAAATGCTTTTGTCATTGCCGTGACCTCAGACTTCATCCCCAGACTTGTCTATGCCTACAAATATGGACCATGTGCAGGACAAGGCCAAGCTGGAGAAAAGTCAGTAATTGGTATCTTAATTTTTGTTGTTGTTATCTTCATTGGAAGCAATTAGAATACACATTAAACCACTGCAAATCTGGGTTCAAACAGAGAGAGTAGGAGGTCAGGAAAAATAGAAAACATTGCTTCTGTGATTAAAATTCACTGTTAACATAGTGTCATTTGTTGAAAATTTGTACTACAGCCATTCACACGGTGAAACTCAGAATGAATGTGATATGTTTCCAGAAACATGTTTCCTTAATTTCTTTTAAAATAAATTATCAGAAAATGGAGTCCATTAACCCAGGATCTCTCATAATGCTGTTAAAAATATGCAAGGCACAACTTACACCTTCTTAGTGTTGCCCTTCTGATTATGCAGTACTTAAAGGCCATTGAAGACATATGTGACTCGGGAAGAGACCCGTGTCAAAAAGTTAAAAAGGGACAAAAGAAATCTCACTGTATTATGAAATAGTATGCAGTTATAGTAAAGAGAAAATTACCAGCATTTTCTGTAGAAACTGGCAGAAGTAATGAGACTATTTTTTTATATTTTTGTGAGATTGTAAGATGTGAAGTTCTTTATCATACGAACAGAAGTGGCCTGTTGGCACAAGTATGAATCACATTATTTGTCTTTAGCCGCAGTTCTAAATTGCCTCTAGTGCTGGACTCGCCATCGTGCATGTGATGATCAACAGCTCATACGCTCACAGAGTCTTTTCTAATAGGCTAAGGGAAAACTCATTTGGAAGTATGTTTCACAAATGAGAACTTATCTGAAAAAAATATCTTCCTCCTATCTAGAACAATTAAACTTTCGTCGATCATAACAGTGAGCATTGGTTATCTGGAAGGTTCATGTGTTTGCCAGGCTACAAGCCTGTAACTTTTGTTCATTTGTATTGGCTCTAACCAGCACACCAGGGAAATGGGTTTATCTGTAAGGCTGCACAATGGAAAATATGAACCTCTCTGATGCTCTTTATCCAGAATGTATTTCATGTTCGAATTTCCTGTGAGCATATGATATATTTACCAGTGTGCCTGGGCCAAGTAATCTCCTATATAGGCTGGGTATGTTGCACAGTGTTCCTAACACAAGGCACTCTTGTCACATAAATCCATGTTTCCTTGCTCTCCAGGTGCATGGTGGGATACGTCAATGCCACCCTGTCCATTTTCCAAGTCTCAGATTTTGAAAACCGCTCAGAGCCCAGGACAGATGGGACAGACATGTTTGGTTCACCTATTAAATACTGCAGGTTGGAAAATATTCAGCACAAAAAAGGTTTAGAAATACCATCATGAAATCATCAACAACATTTTCCAGTCTTGCACATCACGATTACAATGTTAAAATAAGGCCGTAGTCTCTAATGCCTGAGTGAGTAAGGAGATTGGATCCTGTTTTTATTCAAGTATCAAGCTGGTCACAGTCAGAGAAACTACTCAACATGGATAATGTAGTGTAGAGAGAAAGGAAATACTATACTGAGATTTAAAAACAAAAAGAGTAAAATTATCTAGTTTTGAAAATAAAAAAACTCATTAAACTGCCAGGCATTGTTTGAAGGTTATTCTTTGATAATACAACTGTACACTTAAGACCTTGCTGAAGTACACTATAAAAATGCTTAGTCTAGATAAATTATTTTGCTTATTTCATTGCATTGCAGCTAAAAAAAAAAAAAAAAAAAGATTTCTCTTCCAGCTTCATATTTCTGTCTGTTTAAATGCTAAACAAGGTGCTGTTCAGGAGAGTGTCAGTTAAGACTAGTTACCTGTATATGGGAAAGTGTCGAGCACCAGCTGCCTGGCCTCAGTGCACAACTCTCTCAAATCCAGTCCCAGTCTCCCACACTACAGAAGGTACAAACTCTCCACCACAGCTCTCTCGAATCCTCTCTGACTCTCCCACATTACAGATGTATAAACTCTTCAGCACAGCTCTCTCGAATCCTCTCTGACTCTCCCACATTACAGACATACAAACTCTCCAGCACAACTCCCTTAACCTCCTAACAGTACAGAATATTAGGAGCTTCTGAGGACTCTGCAAACTTTCATTTGTTTCACTCAAAGCTAAACAGACAGAAGTGTGCTAGCCATTGTTTTACTCTTTTTTGTGTTTCTGTGCTCATTGTAGCCTTCTGTGTCAGCTGCTGTTGACATGGGAGGAAGATGATTAAACCTGCTGCCTTTTACCCCCCAACAGATACAGAGATTATAGAGAACCTCCAAACTCCAAACAGCCCTATACCTACACCCTGCAGTTCTGGCATGTCCTAGCTGCTCGGCTGGCTTTCATTATAGTGTTTGAGGTGAGAGTCCCTTAACATTCATACGCCTTCTTGGGGGCGTTGAGTTTTTCATGCCTCTCAGTATACATCTATTCCCAAACTTGTTTCACATTCCTATATCTATACTTGCATCTGCACAAAGACTGGCATGGGACCCAAGTATCTCCTGGCTGTATTCTTATGCAAGCCACTGTTTCATACTGCGCAGCATATAGACAGAAAAAAACGTAATACTAAGATTAAGTTTAACATACATATAAAATATATTGATGATACCAAATTGGGATATTCTGTACTGTACCTCCTTCGTCCATTTCAATATAATTAAAGAAAAGACACTTGTAAGTCTCTATACTGTATGTATCTGATTTTGTTTATTATAAATCTTGAGAATTTTCTTGTAGCTCTTGTCAGTTTACACTCAACTGTCCCTTCATCTGATAGTGACACAATCAGGTAACACTTTTTTGTTTTATAAGTTATTGGTGTTCCTCTTTGTAATATGTTTTTGCACAGTTTGGCAAATTTCAATAACATTTGTTTCTTCATGCAACAGAAATAAAATTTAAATTGTTGTCATGACAGACACTTCATTACATTAAATGTCAAATTCACTGTGTTGTACAGATTTTTTTTTGCAATCTAGGCCTCATTGACTAATACAAAACTATTTTTGGTCATTGATTTTCCACTGATAACAGTGCAATATATTTGAGAATGCCATTAGTGCAAGTGAGATAATTAGCCCCTCAGAATGATATATGTAGCTCAGTCTGCTATCTGAATTCTGCCGACAGTTTGGAGTTTATACCCGAGGGAAATTGCAGGCATCATCAAAGTACTGTTTCATGCCTCATAAATCCTAATGCATTTCTGCGACAATTTCAGTCAGTGTGTGTCCTCCAACCCCCCCTGCAATTCAGATTACAATGACAACTAAAAATTAGCTTCAATCATTTCTGGATTTCAGCGTATTGATAATTAATATTTATGCTATTCTCCACCCTTGCCATCAGCCAAAAATATCGGCTTTCACAGAATGCTCTAGACCAGCAGGTACAAAACATTTTGAATGTGTGGATCCCTTTTCAATTTTCAGACAAATTGCGGAAAGAATTCTGGAAACAAACCTTCCAGACACACCACATGCTGCTAGTTGTTACTTTAAATTCTAGTTCCTATGAACATTTTAAAAAACAGCAGCAACAATCTACACTCAGTAATCATTTGCAATGTACGCATCTTAAATTATGTGTGATTAGTATTTATTGCCTCAACAATTCTATTTTGGAAGCATAGGGCTGCCTGCACACGAATGTGTGGAAACTGCAAAATGTCAGATTATTGAATTCTAGCTCTACAACTGACTCACACTGATGTTTTTGTTTTTGCACACTGCTTGTTCTGAGTTTTATTTAAGTTGACTGTTATTGAACTACATTGTTGTTGCTGCAGCTGTTCTGTGTTTAAGTTTTGTGTTTCCTTAATGTTTGTGTATTGAAGCATACATGAAAATAAGCATTTCGTTGCACTTGTGCATATGACAGATAAACTGAACTGAACTGATTGTGTGACTTGATGATTTCACTGGCTTCTGAGATGGGTGTCAGGTTGGAGTGATGTCGGGTTTGTCTTCCCAATCTGATTCCATGGCACATTTTTCTTTTCCACAGACCCTCCCTGTAGTATTAGGCGCAGCGACCCTGAGGCTGAGAACTGCTGCTGTGGGCCACATTGCAGAGCATTTACTGTAGGACTTGTGTTGCGAGTGTTTCAGAGATGCACGTCCAACTGCAATCCCAGAGCAGCAATGTGAATAACCCACAGTGCCCTGCATTGTTAAAACACAAGCACGTGGCATGACACTGTTGCTCATCCAGTGTCTTTTATCTCCTTCTGTAGCATTTGGTCTTTACCATCAAAAACCTGATTTCTTACCTGATCCCAGACCTGCCCAAAGACCTGAGGGATCGGATGCGCAGGGAAAAGTACCTCATTCAGGAAATGATGTATGAAGCCGAGCTGGAGCGTCTTCAGAAGGAGCGGAACGAGAGAAAAAAGAATGGAAAAACCCATAACAATGAATGGCCCTGAGTGGATCACGTGCTTTAAGGTACACGGCAGGGCCTGTTTCCTTTCCCATGGTTCATAAAGTTTCTGTGGAGAGCCATGCTGGATGTTTTCCCTTGAACTAACAGTGTTGGCTAAAACAGAGCAATCTGGGACCTCTTGCCCTAATCTCAGAGAGTTTCAGGTGCTGGGTTACTTCCAGGCAAGTCCACCATCGTTTAACAGGCCCAGCAGTTGGTTTGATTGATAAACATGACCTCACACTCCAGTGTATCTCATCTCCTCTATAGCATGTGGTCTTTACCATCAGAAAGCTGATTTCTAACCTAACTGAGGGATCTGGTGCACCAGCAGAAACACAGGCCCATGGGACCAGGGCATGGAGACCACAGTCAAACTGGAGATAATTGTCTCAGCATTTGTTTGGTTGTCCGGCTGCACTTGTTGATGCCACTGAAAGAGCTCATAAAATGGCTAAATGTTTAAATTCCTTCTATTAATCTCATCACTGTTGTTGGGAAAAAAAGGATTACTTTCACCACCCCCCCCCCTCTTTCCATATCTTGGAACAACATTAAGAGCCAATCAATTATCTCCTGGACTGGCTTGAGTGTAGGAGTCAGGGATGCCGTATTGTGGATGTACAATACCTTCAAAGGCTTACTCAGGAAAAGGTCAAGCACACGTAACTAAGAAGCCCAAGTCAGTGGTGTCAGTCTCTCTGGACAGATACTCTGAGGAGGGCTAGCCTTCAAACACTGACGACAAAAAAAGCTCCACACTGTGTTAAAAAATACTCCTCATTGTAACCTGTTATCAGTCCCTTACCACTTGCAGTACTACCCACTTTTCACCCTCACCTAAGCTGACAAACGTTTGCAGCAGAATAACCTTCCTCTTGCTCGTGAGCACTGCTTTGAAATGTGTTTGTATTGTATTTTTGAACTGCAGGTGAAGCCCACGTCCTCTGTTTACGTATTCCTGTTCTGAAGCCCGTCTGCTTCTGGGGAATGAGCTAATGCAACCTCAGTGCATGTCAGGAGATGTTTTACAAGGCAAGCTGATCAGCACATTTACTAAGGAGTGTACTGTGAACAACTTTGCAAACAACAAATACAACATTAACTGTTTCTAACACTGCAAGCATGTTCCTGTCAATGCAGTAATGTACGCAAATTTGTACTTGGACAAAAAACGTTGTATTATTGACCATTTTACAACAATTTGCTACTTTTCTCAGATATCACATCTTCCATAATGGTTTTACATATCTTCAGAGACTGAATGTAAATAGATAGAACTGTAAACTTTTGCACAAGGTAAAATCATAAATACTCTGTGCATTAGTACACAATACTCTTCTTCCACTGTACCCAATGAAACTCCTGTTTACAATTCTGTCCTTTTTTTTTATTTCAGGACCTTTAAAAGATTTATGATATGTCATTAAAATGCTTATTTGTAAATAGCCAAATATTTAAGAGAATGTTGAATTTTCATGAAACTTAAGGATCAGTTCACAAACATGAAGCCATGTTTACTGCTTGTATATTGTAATGCAATAAATAATTTAAAATAAATATGCATCTGAACTGTACCAGTGGGTTGAGATTGTTTAAAACTCAGATGCTTTCAGGAAAAAAACAATTAAAAATTAAATACTGTGCCTTTTTACAAGTACTCAGTTTAAATTTTTTGGACTTGCAAAATAAATCTTAGTGTCCTAATCACAACATATTTTCTTACACCCCACGTTTACCTTTTTATAAGTAAACAAATTAAAATTAAACCTCTACATTACCATTACGTGGCCTGAAATAAACAACATAGACAATTTATATCACACTTAACACTTTCAGGGTACTGTGTGTGAAGGCAGGCACAAGGGTAAGTTTATGGATATTTTGGGAGTATGATCCTCTCATGGAGGTAGATGCACAGTTCAAATTCAATTAAGGTCCTATAAACAATTTTCAAGACATGTTTCTTTACTTTTTATAGCAAAACTGGAATTTTCAAAACCTTGAGGTGCTTTTTGTCTTGATATGTATGTAACCGTACATTTAGGAATGGTGATTTATTAGACATGAGAGGACAATGGTAAACATTCAAATAGCAATCGACACCGTTCTGATTATGGGATTTAAGGCTTTCATATCAACAGTGGCTTCATTAATCCTTTCCTGTTATTCCCAGGACAAGGAGAAGATTAATAGTGTTTCACATTGTTTCTGTCGGATGAGGGTCACATAGCACATTACTGGGTACTGGGTTTAAATCTAGACAGGGTCATCTTCTGTGTGGAGTTCGTCTGTTCTCCTTCCCATGTCCATGTGGGTTTTTTACAGCCTTGCAAAGACATGGTAGCTGTGCCATTTAATGGCCCAGGGTACAGTCCTGCTTCGTACCCTCTGTCTGCTGGATGAGGCTTCAGTTTACCTCAAGACTTCTCCTGATGAAGCACTTGTGGATGGCGGACAGATCATGTCTAATGAAGGCACTGCTGTGCAGTACATCACAAAATCAAAATTACTTCAGTTTGAGAACTTCTAACACATATATCTGCAAATGCAGACGTTTTGTTTCCAGAAACATATCTAGTCTGAAAGCGAGATTCTAAATGATTACCCCACTAGACTCTGAACTACGATAGTTAATACTCTGTGGTTTACAATGAGGTCCATTGACGTTTACAGCATGAACAGTCATACTTCCCCATGTTTCCCATCTTCATAATTAAACTGTATGATCTCAGCCTACCTGATGCTCATGTTAATGTACAGTATGTACAGAGATTAGCTGTTTATGTTCTCACATCATTTTCATTTTCTAGACATTGTGGGAAAACAATAGAAATACACACACAACGCTCAGATGTATAGCCAAAAGCCTATCATCAGAATTTTACATTTTAAATCTGTGGATATCATGTTAAAATTTGACATTGCACTAAAAAGGCCAAGATCTCTGCAATTAGTCCAGGGAAAAGCAACTAGAGACCATTGCAAGAGCAAAGCAATGCCCAAACTGAACCCTTTAAGTCCTGAACCGAGAAGATTACAACGGGACCTTATACAAGTATTCAAAATCCTCCAAGGCACTGAAAAACCCCATTTGAATTCTTTAGAATGAACAATGAAACATGAAGCAGAGGACACAGAAACAAAGTGGAAGTGAATTTGAAACTGAGAATGGGAGGCACTTCTTCACACAAAGGTTCTTGGGAGAATGAAACAGGCTACTCAGACTTTGTTGAAGCCGATACTCTATCAAGAACCTACTAATTAGGAAGAAATTAGCTCTTTATTGTTTCACATCATTTTCATCTTCTAGACATTGTGGGAAAACAATAGAAATAGACACACAATGGCTGGATGTGATCCTTGTATGAATTAAGTACTGTCAAACAGCTTCTTCTCATTACTGTAGGTTTTTGGTAACGATATGTTATTAATTTATTATTTATCAGGAAGTATTTGTTCTTAATATTAGCTTTGCTGAGAGATAACCAGAAACCAACTTAGGTTTTTTGTTTAAAAAGTTTTATTTCTTGTTATATATAACAAACATATTCTGAAAGGGTTCAGTGCTGGGGTCAAACAAAAGGGAAAGCAAAGGTTTTGTTGAATGCCTAATTTACAGAGGTTTCAGAAGGCTCCACGGCACGTGATGTGATTTCTTGTTTCACATTGGTGTGACGAGAACAAGAGATTCTTCTGCTTTACATTACATAAGGTTATGTTAAAAGGATCCAATCTAGCCCGTTCGCTAGATGGCATGAAAAATGAAAAAAGTTAGCAAAACACTAACAATAACATGAAAATGTTAGGGAATAATATGTACCTACAGCATTTGCAGCATTGTTTCCTTGGGGATTTATGCCATGTTTACTTATTTTCACTCTAACGTGTCCTTTAATTTTAACCTTGTTAAATAGTGTTGCCAAATGTTGCCGAGATCTGCTCTATGTGTTTCTACGGCAGCTATATCATCAGCGAGATCCCTCAACAGCACCACATGCTTTTGGATTTTGAATGCAGGAGCAGCCTTGTGGTCCCTATGCAATGTCTGCCGTTGCCGTTTATGCTAACGGAGGCACCAGCAGCAGGACCTTGGCCTCTTGTCTCTGCAGAATGCGTCACAGGGAGCTCCAGCACCGTGCTCAGGGTCGCAGCTGAGTGGGAGTTTTAAATTCCTGTTGAAAGGCCTTTGTGCCTCAACCCTTGTCTATGACCTGGCCCTCCTACTTGAAGTCCGGGATATAAGATAAGATCACTTTATTGGCCATATACAATTTCTTCCATTAGGAATTTGTCTTTTCGCAGACCCCAGCTTGCTCTCCATGAGACACACAGACAGGGAGAGAAGCTTGGGGTCAGAGCGCAGGGTCAGTCATTGTACAGCGCCCCTGGAGCAGCTGGGGTTAAGGGCCTTGCTCAGGGGCCAAACGGAGTAGGATTCCTCTGCCGGCTGCTGGATACGAACCGGCAAACTTCCAGCCTCAGGCGCAGCTCCTTAGCCCCAATTATAAGATATATATATATAGGTATAGGTCACCTAGCACATTCATAAGTGATTATATCGCTAGGTGACCTATACCTATATAATTCTTTTCCAGACATCATGGCGAAAATGATAAAATAATTTAGCAGCTTCATCCTCTCTAATGGAAATCTTGGCTCGGGGTCTGTGTCCTGAAAGTGCTCTCGTATGTAATTGACTTAATTGATTTTTTTTTTGTTATGGAACAAGTAAAGGTTAATTCCAGACTGAAACACCAGAAGAAAAGATTACATTTTGGCTGTTGAGGGAGACCTCATGGAAGCTCAGCAGTTGAAACACTGTTTCGTCTTTCAGTTTTTCAGAGTGAAATAAACCTTTACTTCATTGTTTGCAGCCAGAGCACACTGGCACAGTTCCCCACTCAGATTTATTGTTAAGTAGACTGCAGAGGTTTATATATATTTTCTTCATTCAGTGTAAGGATTACTGAACATTTTACTCTGAGTGAAAGAGCAGGTATATTTGCGCATAACTAACTCGAGGTCGAGGAGAAAGTTCTTCACGGAACTTCTATATACAGTACATCGCTTCTCGACAATTTACCAAGATCCATTTACACATTAGATAACCAACTACTTCCATCTTCTGGTTTTAAAAAGGCATAACACTCAAAAAACAAGTGTGATATTACAGCCGCATTGAAATGTTGCAATTTCCTTTTGAATGTGATTATAAGTGAGCATTATAATTTTTTTTTAGCAATCTGCTCCAAAATAAGGAGAAAGGAATTTCCATTAATCTCTCATTTAATTTACCGGGTTCATTAACAGATAGTCTGCAATGCAAATGGAGGTTTGTTACTGAACATTTTATCTAATGAAATATGGAATGGTCTGTGTGCACACGCAAGCAGCAACAGAGCAGGGTGAGGTTTCACTGTAGAGATTGAGTGACCACAGAGGCTGAGAACATACCGAAAAATTCTCCACAGCTGAAACAGAGTGTTTTTTCTTCTTTATTTCTATTTTCTGCAGTGTGGAACCAACCCTCTCCTGCTCCCATGCAATTAAGTGCTTGCATTCCCAAACTTTCAAAATCCCTGCCCTTTCTCTTCCAATCAGATATTACTGTGGGAGGCGAGCAGTCGTGTTAGATTAGTGTCAGCTGCCTCAGCGGGGCCTCCAGCACTTGTACATACAGTAGGGTCCCTGTCCCCACAACGGATTCACACAGGGCGAATTACTGCAGGTAATCAGTTGATTAGTTGCTGAAGGGTGAGACTCATGGTTTCATTTAGCCTAAGCAGGTTCTGTACATAAAGGGATCCACAGTGCTATTTAGTGTTCGTTTTTCAGAGCATGGGGTTCTTTTGTGTAAAACCATCCTAAAATGAAACTTTATTCTAAAACTTTTCTAAAATGAAATGGCACATTTCCATTGTGGTTTGTCCACGTGCTCAGGCCTCACGAGCCACCTGAGGAGAGGTAGGCCTGTCACAATCACATGCAGCCTGAGCTGAGAAATTGAGCCACAAAATGGCGACGCAGCTGTGCCCGCATTCCATGATGAGTGAAGCTGCAGATGAAAAATTAAGTTAATACAGTGTATTAAAAAATGGCAAAATTTAGTCATGTGATGGGTGTAGAACAAAACATGTTCTTGCTATAAAGTTAAAATTCAATTCTACTCTTAAGGGAAATAACCACGATGCACAGCAATGACAGGGGAAAACTGCAGTTCTGTGGCTTTCTCATCCACATGTGACATGAATGAATGTAACTGTTTGTTTTTTGCGCTGTGTTTCCTTCATGTCCTCTTCAGGATGGCTGAAGGCAGGATTAAGTGCTCCACAATCTTTTGTGTTTGCGTTTGCCCCGCGGTTCAATTTTTCACGTGCTCCGTTCTGAAAACAAAATGCAGCGCAGCAGTTAAAGAGCACGCTGGGACACAAGAAGTCACGATACAGTTCGGCGCAGGTTCGAAATACTTTTGTTACGAAGGCCGTGGAGCCGGCAAGAGATGCCTGTCTCACTCGCTCAGCGTTGAAAGTGCAGTCATTTCTCAGCGCTTTTTAAACTGTACATTAGCTGTAACCACAATGAGCTGTTCGTAGCACTATATAAGGACTGGAGTGTGTGTTAAGAAGGAAAGACAAATCTAGCATAGAAATGCATTTAAACACTTACAAAATTGAATATTTTCAAATACTGAAAATGCTAATCTCACAAAACTTCCAGATTTTTTAAGCACAACGCATTCTTAAGAATCCCATCCCACTGCCCTGTAAAACAGGCCAGCTTCGAAATCGGGGAGGAAAAGGCTGAATTACAGTCAGCTCTGACCATGAAGTGCTGTGAAAGGGCTATGCCGAAGGTAGTAAAAGTAAATTTAGGTGTTGCACAAGAGGAATATGGAAGAATTTAACCCACTTTCATTAGGTTCCAGGAACTGAGAATAAACTGCACTTCATGAATTTGAATGGCCCTGGTTGATCTGAAACATCAACAACACTCTTTCCTTGTGCAGGTTGTTATTGTAATCAGAAAACTGAATTGATTGGGTTCAAAGGGATTAAATGAAGCTCCCTGTACCTTAGGTTTAAGAAGAGAGAGAATCTGGTAGCCGGTTAGGTCTTCTTTCTGTATAGTCAACCCTGATTCCAAGTTCTGCTTTCTTCCCCCTAATAAAGAAACAAGGAGAAGATGAAAAAAATACATTTTTACACAATAAGCAGATTTTCATGCCATCAACATTTTAATTAACCAGTGATATTTAAAATAAATTTTCAATTGTTTGAATGTCTTATGAAACAAAGTCCTTTTTGTATTAAATTAAAAGAAATAAAGGCTGAGGCGGCACAATGATGTGTTCTCATAGAAGGGCAGCAGTACCTGTCGAGAGACTCACTAGCAGACCAACAGCCATGACTGTTAGAGTCCCAACAGTGCTGAAGTACAGGTAGGACAAAGAATACCAGTGTTCAGCCAGATAGGGCCTGCAAATGAAAAATACACATACTGTACAGTACTGTTACAGCGTTAGGTGACTGAGAAGTGTCTCTTAGGTTTTAGATCAAGGTTGTGACACTTGAAAGACTAAACACTACACTTCTAGCTTCAAAGCAAAGAGGATGTTTGCTGAGGTTTATTCTCAGATCCTGGAACCTTCAGCAAAAACAATGGTAAAGTTTACACCTCGGTTTAACTTGTTTCTATTTTTGTTTTTTTGTGTAGTTTGTGTCTTGTCATTGTGACACATATTTGTTTAACCAAGTGTGCCCGGAGTATTACTCCTCTCAACAAAAAGAACAAAGCATTATCGTGCCTCTAATTCAACCATCCGCTCTATCCTGTCTGATAAATCACTAACATGCTGGGGGTTATGGATAATTATTTCACTATTGACTAAACCTCTTGGTCAGATCCTGATTTTCACCATTTACGTAATCCCCCATTTGTAACAGTAATTCCAAGGTTCTTCCGAATGGTTACACCCCAGGACTGCCTATTAGAAAGTATCAATTGATATTGTTCACACCCGAAGAAGGCTCCACAGCCGAAATGTTGTGTTTTCTTTCTTCTCTTTTTAGCATGGAATAGACCTATTACCTGATAAATTGATATTGACAGCGGATCTAAAAAAGCTGTATTCTATTAAAAAATATACACCTATCCCTGCTCATACCCTATTAACAGAGTAATTCTGAAACTACGGTGTATTTTTATGTGTTTGTCTTCACTCGCTGTTTCTCTGACTCTCTGAGAAGATGCCAAGGTGGTTACTGCCCAGGGATGTGGTGGCATCCTATTGGAACACCTGCTCCCCCAGGAGAGAGAGATCGTACCCGAGCCCCCAGGAAGGACGGCAGTTCCTACCTGGGCTCCTCCTCACCCCACAGACCGTGCGCCGGGGGGGGCTGCCACGTCACAGCTGTCCAGTTGGACTCTCCTGCGGGCAGGCTGCCGTTACAGCCAGCAGTGCTGAGGCTCAGAGGCCGGCTCCTCCCGGGCGGCGGGGGGTACAGCTGAGCTCCGACCCCCACCCAGAGAGAGAGAGAGAGTCCACACAGCAGTCCCACCAGCCCTCCCTGGAACACAGACACGCCCACTCACTGCAGCCCACTTCCTGCACACCCAGCCCCACCGCTGCTTGTGACGCCCGCATCCCACTGCAGGCTTGTCTTGAGTGCCACCTCCAAAGAAACAAAAAGGCTCTTACTATTCCTTTGTCTTGCGGTTTACAGTGGGGGTTGTTTTCAGCCTTATGAGTACATGCAAGGAAGACATTTCTCTTTCAGCTGGGCACCTTCACAGCCCATTTCAGAAAACACCACAGCTTTGAGGTCCACAGCAAGGTCTCTTCGCTTCCTTGTGGAAAAATAACCTGACTGACCAAGTTACTTTCATGATAAAAAAAAATGCATTTGATTAACTGTTGCTTTACATTGTCGCTTGCTTTAACTACTTAGATCTTTTACAGTGCAGTCTGAGCAATGGGGGTGACTTAATATTAATTAACTCCTTTTTCATTATCCGTGTTTTTAATTGATTGCAGGTATCGAGAGACAGATAGAAGGCTTAAGATGGTACTTACTGTAGAGTTGGCACAGGGAAAGAAAATTCCCAACGCGAAGAGCCCGAGGAGTGGTCCTCCTATCATGCCAAATACGCTGATCGCTGCCTGCAGGGAGCCAAACAAACACTGAGTACGGAATGTGGCCTAGGGTCACCAAGAAGCCTGTAACTCCAGAGACTCAGACTGTCACGAAGCATCTTTCAGGACCCTATGCAGACAGCAAAATCCGGAGGGGAGTGAGAAAACACGGGGAAAAGACTAGGGATAGGGGCTGGAAGAAGAACAGGGGCCGTGTCCAAGGTGCGCTGGTGCTCGGGAGGGTGTGTCCAGGGCAAACATGTCCAAGGGAGTCCGTTAGAATTTCCTGGGAAAGCCAATGACCAAAGCCGGGTGATCCATCCTGACACAGATGAACGAAGTTAAAAGCCGGAGCAGGATCCGGCGAAGAGTCGGGGGAATAAAAGGGGGGTAACAGGGCCAGGCGCTCCCAGCCCCGGACCCAGATGGTCAGGACGCCGTTGTGAAGCCTATGCTGTCGGGTCTCTCCTGGACTTGCTGGTAGGTGGGCTTCCGAGTGTCCATCTTCCAAAGCTGAGCCAACACCAGGACCCCGCGGACGGCAGTCCGGAAGCCCGGGACTCCATCTGGTTTTGTTTCTCCTTGTTTTTTGTTTAGGGCTTCGGAGCCGCCCTGAAAAGGAGGGGGTACTGTCACGATCACAAACCCCTCCTCTTAAGGACGCTCCAGCTCTTCCTCATTTTCCTGAACTCCTGCACCTGCCTCCGGTTCCTGCCCCCGTCCTATAAGAGCCTGACGTTCCTGCCAATCTGGGCTCAGCTTTGGAAGATGGACGCCCGGCTGCCAGGACGCCAGCCTACCCGCGAGTCCAGGAGGGGCTAGACGGCATGGGCTTCACAACGGCGTCCTGACCATCTGGGTCCGGGGATGGGAGCACCTGGCCCCATTACCCCCTTTTATTCCCCCAACCCCTCCCCAGATCCCGCTCCGGGTTTTTACTTCGTTTGCCTTTGTCAAGGATGGACCACCCGCCTCCCCACTGATTTCCCTACGAGCACCCTTTGGACTTCTTTACCTGGACCATGTCCCCCTGAGCACCTTCGTCACACCCCCCTGTTCACCAGCCTACCAGCCCAGTTCCTCGTCTCCTCCCCGTGTCTGTTCACTCCCTTCCAGATTGTCCTGAAAGACGCTTCGTGAGACAGGGACTGACTAGGGTCACTGACAAGCCTGTTATTCCTGAGACTCAGACTGTCTCAAGAGACAAGGACTGACTAGGGTCACCGACAAGCCTGTAATTCCTGAGACTCAGACTGTCTCAAGAGACAGGGACTGACTAGGGTCACCGACAAGCCTGTATTTCCTGAGACTCAGACTGTCTCAAGAGACAAGGACTGACCTGAAGAAGCCCACGAGTGCTGACGCAACTACAGTGTACATACTCAAATGTAATGATCTCATATCCTTAAAGTTCTGCCAGCACAACCACAGGTGACTCAAAATAAGGAGAAAAAATGCTTTTTTCTACCTGCAGGAGACCCTCCATCAGAGAAGCTAGGCCAGCCATTCCGATGCACAGGGCCCCATACAGTACACCTATCAGAGATGAGACAAGACCATCAGAAAGCAGACAACTGAGAGAGCACCCCCTCTCTTTCATTCCAGGGTTAGTACAGTAGTTTATTTATCCAAGGATTTCACTGAGACATTGTGGGAGAACCCCAGGGAACTGGGCAACTCAGAGGTCTTGCAGTATTGGAAGACATAATTGTGTTATCCTGTGAAAACAACTAGGTTTCCGGAAGTGTTGTACCACATTGTTAATCCTTACCACACTATAATATTACGCTGATTTAAATAGTATTCGGATACGTCTCTTGACACTTCGTCACAGGCTGGGTACATATTAGAGATACAGTACTGTACTAAGCTCAAAGAATGAAAATCTGAGGCTTTTTTGATGGCTGCACCATAAGTCTGCTTGTTCAGCCCTCAGTGCTAAGTACATGACAGCATAACATAAGGACTTACAGTATGATATAGACAAGAGGAGGCATTATGGCCTCTCATTGGTAGTTTCGCTGCTGGTAGCTGATTGATCCAAGAATCTCATCCAGCCATTTCATGAAAGAGGCACAGTATCATCTTCAGCAACATGGCTGGGTGGCCTGTTGAATACACCCACGACCCCCTTGTGCAAAGATGTTTTAAAACCATTTCTTGGTTTAAGAAGAAGGTGAGACCAGGCTCAACGGCGTTTTTTCAATTTCTGACACTTTAGATGTTCTCCGGGTGTTCAGATTCATTTTAATCACCTCCTCCTTGAGTTATAATTTTCTCAAGGGCAGAGTTGTCTTGGAAGTGGCACCTGTTGTTTACCCCAAAAATACCCTGTATGGCCAGATCCTTGGCGGGAAATATTTTATCGCACGACAATAACACTGAAGTTGTGGTGTCCTCCACCTCTCTGACTCTGCCTGGTGATATAAAGACTCACTCAGCCCCTTGGAAGTCAAAGAAAGCTTGCTGTCAGAAATCCTGAAGTATGGCTTCACCAGATCCTCCACAGTTACAGCTGCCAGAGCATTGATACTGGAGGAGACTGTGCTGTAGAAATTAAAACAGAGGTCAGCTCATCAGGAGGCAGCAAAACTCTTAACACAACAGCGCTTTAAAAAAGAAAATCAAGAGGTGTACAGCACCGATTAGGTGTCTAATCGACACACATACTGGTCATATTCTTACCTTAATGTCCCACTGTATGCTGATGCTACAAACAGTCCAGGAAGTCCAGGAAAATCTCTCAGGATGTCCATAACCATGTATGGCATGAGCTGACAAAATGAAAAACATTGTGCATTCTTTACTGCAGTCATTAAGAGAACACCGTGTTATACAGTCATTCCTCCATAACTGGGCCACTAAACCCCTAATTGTGATTCACGGCTAACTACTGTAGCTGTTGTTGCTTTTAGAGGTGATGACACTGAAAACGAAAGTTTTTGTGCTCTAAACAAGTTTAAGTTTAAGTTATATGATTAAAAGTTCAAACAAACGTTTCTTTAGCTGTCTAAAAAAGACATCCAAGCATCTCTGTCTATCCTAATTATTCCTTGTGGAACAATCTGAGTGGCGTGCCTGGTCAGGCGCGGATATGATGTGTGCTGTCCACGGGTCGCAGTCCTTATAGATGGAGTACAGACACAAGCCTGCAAACACAGCGCAGAACAGGATCACCCACAGACCAACCAGGTTAATGTAGAGGGACCTGCAGGGGGGAGAGACACCATTCAAAACACCAGATCACACAGACGCCAAGGTCCTTTTGAACTCCCTCTTCAGGACTTTTATGTGATGCCCGTGACTGCTTGTTTCCTGCGATTTTCAAATTTAAACCTCAGCTGCATGTGAGGAAATTCCAGTTACACTTGTCTACTGGGGCTCAAGCCAGGGTTGGCTGGGACTCTGAGCCTTAACTGGTTAAGCTCCTTGGAAGCCACCTGATGTTTGACCAGTGTTAGGGGACTGATTAATAATTTTTATGTTACTGTAAGTTCTAAACTCATAAAGAGCCGGTAAGTATTGTATCCCTCTTTCCAAAGCCGAATTCTGTAGCCCATTTCCATTCACTTTATCTCCAGCGAATGATGTGGGTGTTGATTGAGAAGGAGGTAGCAGCTACCAGGCACCCTGAGAACCCGGGCCTCTGCATGCCGGAGGCTGGGTGATGTTAGAAGCGAGCCTGCAGTTACCCTGCAGTCCAGGTGCACTGAGCGGTCTGACTTACACTTTCGCCTGAAACAGAGATTTGCAGGAGATGTATCTCTGTACTTGTGCTTGGTTGACAGCATAAATCCCTGTCCAGGCAAACGTGCCTCCAATGAGGATGGTCCAGAAGGTGTGTCTCCTCAAAGGATCGGGGTCAAAGCTAAAATGAGACGAAAGAATGAGTAAATTCAGTTCTAATGCGCCATGTTGACAGAAGTATTTTACAGGAGTGTCAGCTCAGCATAGAAAATTAAAGAAGTGTATTTCTCGGCCTGGAGTGTGTAGCTCTGATCGCCTGCTTCACTGAGTTGTGAAGACCTGATTGGATCTCCCATTGGATCATTTCAGCCAGCAGATCCTGTCAGCCAGTCTCAAGCTGCTGACAGCTGACAGGCCCGGAGAGCAGGAATCGTGACAGCATCATACTGGTGTAATAGTGAAACAAAACTGACAATTGATATGATCACATTGAATACATAACTGAAAATAAATTTAGATATTCCATAACAAAAAAATGTTATTGATTTTCCCTTGACCTTACACCACAAAATAGATTGAATTTCCAGGTATGCACAGCACCATGCTCGCAAATTCAGATCGAGGCAACAAAACTTCATGTGATGTGTTGTGGCCCTATGACATTGTAAACAAGCAAGCCTTGTGAGAACATCTCTTTTAATCGAATAGAAATATTGCTCTCGATTTCAGCACAGTTTTGCCGACAAATACTACTTGTTAACTCTGCATGCAGATCATGTTGGAACATTTCTGCAGTAAAATATTACAGTTACAGTTACAGTACTTTCACAAAGTTCACGATTTTGTGCTTAATTCGAAATTTGTAATTTTTTTCTATAGTGTCAGTTTATTTTGTTACTGAGATTCAATAACCGGTCTGAGAAATCGAAGTGTTGATTTAATTTGACTTGATTTCGTGCAGTTAGACCACAAAAAAACGGCTGGTTTTGAGAGGGTGTATAGACTGTCTATAGGCACTGTGCCCGCAGCATGGTCTTTGCTGGGTTAGGACATCCCTGAATCCACAGCACACCAGCCCAGCGCAGTCGACATGTCACAGAGCTCACGCTAGTGACTTACTCCCAGAAGTTCAGCCTCCCTCCATAGTCAGAGTCGTTGAGAACGGCCGAGAACCCCCCCTGCAGCACCACAGATCTGACGATGACCGAGGCAAATCCTGCCACCATGATCCCCACTTGGAACACGTCGGTCCAGACCACCGCCCTCAGCCCCCCCTGCAATCACAAGCGAGAGGCGCTGGGACCGCGGGGAGCAGCACAGGGCTGCGCCCCTGTCACCCCAGGCGCCGGGGAGCTGCTGTCCTACCAGGGTGCAGTAGAAGGTGCAGACGGCGCCGGTTGAGATCACAGCTCCCCACAGGTGGAAGCCGGTGACTGAGGAGTGGGGAAAACCACACAAGGCAAAAGACACAAAAGACACATTCTTTTAATGGACAGTTTGAATTCATAAAGTAGACCTAGCTAGCGTACTATTGTTAGTACATTTTAATGCATATGACAATGGTGACTATGGATTGCAATTTCCTTTGGCCTAATTAATTAATTAATTAATCAAAGTGGGTGAGCATAACTACTCATACTACTCATCATCCAGGTGGGGCTGCACACTGGTGGTGGTGGAGGGGATCACTATTACCTGTAAAGCACTTTGAGTGGAGTGTCCAGAAAAGCGCTATATAAGTGTAAGCAATTATTATTATTAATTATTATTATTATTATACCTGAGAGAAAATGTCTGTCTTTGTTACAATACATGACGAACTGGGAAGAGGATTTTGTCTAAGATTACTATTGATTTATCTGACCCTTTTATCAGACATGTCGTTCATTTTTACCCATTTAGCCAAAGACGTTTACTGGAGCAATATGAGTGAAATACTGTACGGCAGTGCCTTACCTGAGATCTGGGCCCACTCTCTTGCTTTCCGCTTGCGCCCTAACCGTTTCGCCGCACTGCGCCCTCTAGTGGCTGTACTGGGCAGTACAGGCTTACTTATGGATTTGTATTGACGCGTTTTACCCGGTTGAGTCTCGGGTTTTCGTACACCTGCCCATTATACTACATTAATGAAGCAAGATGAATTTAACAATTTATCCACATTTGGCACTTGTCTGTTTTACAAAGCCACAATACCGATGCAGAGAAGACTGGTGAGCAGTGATCTGATGAGCCTTTAATTAATGTGATTGACGCTAAATCAGAATGGAGGTAATATCGTTATTTCTAGCAAGACTATATATACAGACCTTGGTTTAAAGCGAGGGCTGGAGTATAGATTACTATGCCGGTATATAAAACCTGAAATTAAGGGAAAAAAAAAGTAAATTTCCTTGGGCCCCGAAAAAAAAATATTTTAAAGTAGTAACAGGACACGACAGTATATTCCAAAGAAATGGTGATTTCATGAAAGAGACTGCAAGTTAGTACTATCCAGTCACTTGTGAAATACATGACAGTAAGTCAAATTATGAAGCCTGTCAATCATGACTTTATTTGACAAGCATGGTGAGTTGTACTTAAGTCTAGATTCACGGTGGAGACAAGGGCTAGCTGAGTCAGTATTTAATGGAGGTACTGTACAAAATTCCATAATCCCATGAGTCATTTTTGAAGGACATAATAATTCTAATTATAGGAAATGTATTTTTACATTCATAACAGCATCTTGCTCTCCATCATTAACAGTCTAACCAGTTTTTTTCTCATCCTGGCTCTTGTCCATTTCAGGTATATTAATCCATCTTCTATATGAAAAGCACATTATTTTCAAAAAAGGCAAAAAGCAAAACAATATTCATTCATCACAATAGCTTTAATATCAAATCTAACTTACAATGCCTTACATAATTACTTTAATGTGTTTTCTGTCATGTATGAATGAAAAACATTCCAAAATGACAAAATTGTTTTTTGAATGTAATGATGTCAATTTCATGTTTATCCAGAGTTCTCTGTCACTGCCTGTCAGATTTCCTGTGTGTATTTTTTGAAAACCATTTAAAATTATATTTGCGAATTAACATAAGGTGTCATTGCTGTGAATGGAATAATTATTCATTTGATTTCAGTCCACACAGTCAAATATATTTTATCTTGTAGGCTGCAGTCTCAGGTATCCCTTGACACCTTTTCATCAGGTTTAATTCTGGAATATTTCAAGAGAATGAAAATGTACTCACTGTTTGAATGATGAATATTGCAGTCCCACATAGCCTAACCTCTTTGCTAAAACGCATTTCCAAATACTGTGAAACAAACGTAGAAAGAATAGCATTAGAGCACTGGAGCCCCTGTACACATTATTTATTAAGACTACTGCATTTAGAGCATTTTTTTAATGTTAGCTGACTTTTAGACTCTTATTTTTTATAGTGTAGCAAGATCTACACTTTCAATTACACTTGTTACCTGTTGAAATTGTCTCTGCTGTTTTTATATTTGAATTGAAGCAATTGAAATAATCTGTATACAGCATAAAACATAGAGAAGCTTATGAAACAGCATGCAAGTACTTTTGCAAAATGTGTGACGTAACCTGCGTACTCCTGCATTCTTTTGAGATCTGTCTCATCTATTTAGATAAATCCTTCGCAACAGCTTTTACTTGACATATTTTATTCTGTCTTTTAGCATTCTGTGAGTGATGAAAAGGAACAAGATAACTCTGAGATAGTGGAATTCAGTGTAAAACGAACCCACTACAAAATGTTATTTTTGATACTTTGATTTCAAGGTCTGTAACAGTGATGATTGTCTCCTTTCCCATTTGCAGTATAACACCAATGCTGTAGCACCAATATACTGTATAACATCAGGAACAGGTACAGTATATCTACTCTGCAGTCACAGGCACAATGCCTAGTCTTGGTTTATGAGACGTCTCTCTCTTTGGGGTGCTTGTTGATTTTGAGACTGCTGTCTTTGAGGTGCTTGACTGACCCTTGGTTCTTTCTTAACACTAAACTGATAGAATAACCACAAATCCCCTAAAATAAGTATGAACCCCCAAAGAAACTTCACAACATGAAGAAATTTTAAAATCAAAGCCCAGTTGTTACGAAAGGTGTTATTAACTACTCACCTCGTACGTGCTGGTAATTCCCAATCTGTAAAAGACGGGAAGAAAGAATTCCGAGCTGATGAGGACCACTAGAGCATAGCAGAGGGCAAAGAGTCCGAACATGGCGCCAAACCGGTACACCTCGGATGGCGTTCCCAGGACCGTGACTGCAGACATGAAGCTGGCAGTGAGGGACAGGGCCACTGGCATGGCAGACATCCTACGACCCCCCATCAGAAAGTCCTGGGACGTCTTTTGCCCACCATCAGCAATGGCATAATATATCCCAATGGCAGCTGAGACCACCAGCGTGAGACCAAATACCACGTAGTCCCAGACGACGAAGGTACCAGCAGTAGAAGAGACAGACATGATGCCTCCAGGTCCTATTGCTTCCGTCTTTGTCTCTGGTCTCCCTGTAAATCCACAGATCACTTCGAAACAAGTCTTCCTTTAATGTAAAAAGGGACTGAGGATTTTCATTTTCAAGCAGCCAATTGATTTGAAAGAGGTGATTCAATCCACAAAGCTGAGCGAAAGTGAAATGTACGTGGTGTGCATCAGCACTTTCAGACTTCAAGTTTCCTACCTAACAAATTTCAAAGAAAAAAACATTATTCACCTACAGTACAGTTATGTTGTCCTTTACTTTACAAGAGATGAACAACGTATACTCATGATGTTCAAGTTTCAAGCATTATTTATCTATTCCTATTTAATGGTAAATATTTAGCATCTGTTGCTAACAATTACACCAATTAATATCGTCTACTACTAGATTGTCTTCACCAGTTCACCTGATGATTAGCTGATTAGCTCTGGTAGGCTGTAGTTTAAAAAAACACATCTCATACAGGAAAGCTCTTTCTGCTGTCAGACAGTGAGGTTTCTTTGTATCCAGTGTAACTCAAGAGCAGCGACTGTTCAGACCGACTCTTATAAGTACCTGGAGCCTCAGAGCACCTCCCAGGTTTCAAGAGTAAGTAGGTGGGACCTGTACTGTGCATGCTCTCTCTTTTCCTTCTATTTCAGAACATAATGTGCTTCACAAACCAATACATTCACCTTGAGTCAGGTGAGCTGATAAGACAAACACAATACCTATTTGTAACAACATGCAATGATAAAATGAAGAAAGCAAAATGTGAAGCATATTTTCAAGGTCAACAAAGGACTGTTTGAAGGTTTGTAATTATGAATTATGAATTAAATTGATGACTGTTTCTATTTCCCAATAAAAAAATATTTGTTAAGGTGTTAAACACCTAGTTTTCACCCTATTTATAAAACACCACAAGTTCCTTTTTGAATTGAAAGCCACTATTGTGGAAGAAGAAGAAACCTTTCTGGAATATGGCATTGTCTCTTATTGCCACCAATCTGGGCACTTTATATTAAACCAAGCATGAGCCTTGCATATGATATCAGTCTTATTTACTTTAAGAAACTTACTTATTTTACTTTTAACGTATTTATCAGTGATATATTTATATGACCTGAATTAGGGTTTGGTCTTCAAACAAGGCTTGGTCAAGCATAACACTGCTATTAAAGACAGAAATAGCAGGAGTGATTATAGACTTTTAAACAGAATGCAGTCAGTATGTCATTCTGTACTACTGTATCATCATGACTGTGGGGCTTTCACAAAGTTGCCTGTTATTGACCAAGCTATAACAATGTGTAGGCTATAATTGGATAATCGGGACTAGTAATGGCCACAGTGACTAAAGAAAAATTAAATGGTTCGATTGCTGCTTTCACACAGCTCTATGGTGCTGCATTTAATTATGGGTAGAGAGCACTGACTCTGTGGAGTTGCATGGTCTACCCAGCTCCATGTGGATTTTCTCAAAGTGCTCTAGTTTCATCTCACATTCCATATGGACCACGCCAGGTCAACTGAATCTAATAACGGGAATCATTTACTGAAGTGCAAAGCATCCATATTTTAATTCCCACTTCTGTAAAAATTTATACACATCTGAACTTTTTTTAAATTATTTTATGATGGTTTTATGTAAGGTCAGGGAGTGCCTGTAGGTTAAAGTCTTGTTGGTGTGATCATGCAATACATCATTAAAATATGTCAAAATACTGTATGGTTCATGTGTACATCAAAATGGCCTCCTGAGTGCCATCTGGTACCCTCATTGAAATCTAACTGATAATGCAAATTTCTTGTTCTGCTGTTCAAACCTTAGTAGGTTCAGTGAAAAATACATTCTATTTTTGTTACAATTCAGCAAACTCTAAAGCAGGCGTCACTTATCCTGTTCTTGGAGGGCCAGTGTGCCAACAGGTAATCAGTGCACCTAGTCTCTTATTGACCTGAACCAGCTCATTATTGCTTTAACTGGACCAGTAGAACATCTTCTCCCAGCTCTTTAGGGCTGGTGTTGTGAAGAAACTGGAACACCTGTAGACACATCGGACCTCCAGGACCTCTGCTAGCAGCTGGGTCCCTGAAGTGTAGTAGTTAGCAAGTCATAACGTTGACCTCACATGTCAGAGGAGCCTGGCTAGAAACCGTCTTGTCTCTGCATGGACAAGCGCTCGGTTCAATACGCTTGAGGAAGCAGAGGTGTAAATCCCATTGCCAGACCTGTCAGAGTCTTTATAGAAGCTGATACCTGGCCTCCTGGCTTCAAGAAACAGTTAGATCAATCATCAATTACTAACAACTAGATGGGCTAGATGAGCCCAATGTGCCCCTCTTGTTGTAACCAGTCTTACGTTCTCATATACAGTAGCCACCTGCTAGTCCACAAACACTGCTTACAACTGTTTCCCTTAGTATTTTCTGAGCCCATGAGATCATGTGCATCTACACCCTGTTTCCTCAATTTCCGAACAGCCACTTCACAGATTTTTGCCATAATAAAGTGCAGCGCCCTGATCAGGCAGTGATGAGACCTCAGGCAGCAGACGTCTCACGACATCCGATCCCAATGCCGAGAGGGGAAGACAGGGCAGAGTGGAAATAAATAGCACACCCTCACCAGGTGCACCAGAAGAACGTGAAAAGGCACAGGGGAGCCAGGGACAGGACAGAAAGGTAGAGCGCCCACTAGAGGTAGGAGAGGAGCGTGACAGTTTTTATGTCAGAGATGCAATTAGAGAGAATAGAGACACCCACGTCAGTGTCAGGTATGGTGTGGACGTAGATTTGAGTATCATCAGCGTAGAAATGATAGCTGAGGCCATGCAATCGTAAAAGTTGACCATGTGGAAACATGTAAATGCTGAAAAGCAGGGGGCCCAGTATCGAGCCCTGACGAACACCAGACTTTCAGAGCTAAATCGTACTGTACTTAACTAATAATTGGAAATAAACAAGTGTTCTTACCCTGAAGTGCACAGTTAGGGTAAAAATAAGTAGGAATGTACTAGTTTTCATTCCCTCTGAACTGCCACTCGTGCAACTGACTGAGCTCTTTCCCAAAAATCCCCCCCTCCCACTGTATGAAACTCTAGAAGAGGTCTAAACAAGCCACTTACAGTACCAGATCAATGAAACAGGGAAAAGCTCAAACTAAGAGACACTGTGGGTCCCCAGGACCATGGTCTAAGCTCACTGCCTGGGAGCTGGTCCCCAGTACTGAACATCTGAGTAGTGAATGTGCCCCCCACCCCATGTGAGTGTGTGAGTGAGGGTGGCAGGACCCACTAGGCCTGGAAGTAGATTTGGGGGGGCGGGATGAGTAGGGCTATCAGAGAGTAAGAGGGGGCACATTTGCTCTCCCTTGAGTGACTACGGACTAACTGCTTCTTCTTGTGTCCTAAATTCCCTTTACTCATGAAAAACCCATAGCACTTACAAGTGCTGTAGCGTATTTCACCATGCAAACAGCATTTTTCAGAACACAAGAGAAAAAAAATCCTGGCTGCGGATAATCAGGACTGTTAAGGGTGGGGATCTTAATCCAGTGTTTGCAATTAAAATGGATTCCGAGACTTGTACTTTAATTGATATATTCGGAATGATGCTGAGCACATAGAACACAATTAGAACTGAAATAGGAAAAAAAAAGTTGCTGTCAATTCCAACAATCTCAAAAAAGACGATGGAAGAAAGGACGTGTATTATGTTTTTAAAATATCAGGTGAAGTTCATGCTGCGAGATTGGAAATAATTAAACACCAACTTCAGCATATGAAAATCAGAAAACAAAATAAGTTTTACTGTGAAGCAATCATCTCGACAGGTTTTCTTTCTCAAGTTCTATCAATGATATTCTGAAAAACTATTCGACTCCGTAGATTCAGCAGACTAGTCCTACGGAAAGAGCCTTGCATACAAACTGAAGCGGTACGACCACGTGGGTTAAACCACGTTTTCCCACAATCCACCATTCAATATGGCTGCGCCCGGAGGTAGCGGCGTGTGTGTGTAAACAGTGTGGATTTTTAAAGAAATATATTAAATTTTGAAATAGAATATTAAATCACCTTTTCTAGATTATTTTTCTTTAGGATTTTTTTAAAAAAGGGCTGGAAAAATGAAGACCAAATCGTCATATCATAAATCGGAAAACACTTTTAGGGTAAGTTATATTTCTAAATAGTTCTTCAATTTCTGCAGCCCAGGCATGTTCCTTACAGGGCAGATATAATAATCCAGCACAACACAGTATATCATAAATTACAGGAATGCTCATTGGTACAGTCAGATTTCGATCATATTCCACCAAGGACAAAAGTTTCGAGCAAGCAGAAAATATACTGTATGTGAAATACCGTGGTTCGATGCGAATATTTAGACGAGAAATCATTTCCTAGCGAACGCATAACACGATGAGTGTGATTTTTTTTTGTTACTGTTATTTTTTCTCATTTTGGGTTTTGTTTTGCAGTTTCTTACCTTTTCTGAACGGCTTGCTAATGTAAATATCGATGTCATTCATCGTATTGACAGGACGGGAAGCTATGCAGAGGTGAGTTTCACGATTACTCCAATTACTCTTAATTGTTCTGATCCTGATCGTTTTCTCCATTGTTCTTATCTTAAAAGCCACTTATGTCTCAACCTTGTGAACTGCGTTTAATATCCCCAGGAGGTTGAAACATACTTTTTTGAAGGGCTGATGAAATGGAGGGACCTGAATTTAACGGCACATTTTGGTAAGTAATATGTATCTTTTATACAACTGTGCATTTTTAGGCCTTGGAAAGGAATCTTCTTTTTCTAGTGTCTGCAACAACAGTTATTTTTGAGAAACGAGCAGACCATAAAAATGGTGTATGCGCTGTGAACAATTGCAGTGCAGGAGCAGGTTTTAAGATAAGAGATAAAATAAGATCACTTTATGGGCCATATACAATTTCGTGCATTAGGAATTTGTTTTTTCGCATACCCCAGCTTGCTCTCCATGAGACACACAGACAGGGAGAGAAGCCTGGGGTCTGAGCGCAGGGTCAACCATTTATACAGCGCCCCTGGAGCAGTTGGGGTTAAGGGTCTTGCTCAGGGTCCCAATGGAGTAGGATTCCTCTGCCGGTCGCGGGATATGAACCGGCAACCTTCCAGCCTCAGGCGCAGATCCTTAGCGGATCTTGAACTGTATTTGTGTTTTGCAGTGAAGTTTCTCAAAGAAGTGATCCACAAATGCCAGTCCTTCAACCTGCTGGTTTTCCACCAGAGTTCAGTTGTGGAGAGTTTGAAGGTCCACCTCAAAGTCAAAGACAGCCTGGCCTATCAGCCTCTTTTGGAGTAAGTACAATAAGATCTTAACGAATGGGAATAATACACACAGAGTAAAATGCCAATGTGTTTGCTGTTTATCTTAAGGTTAATACTTAGGGCTGCCAGATATAGGTAGTGACTAGAGGACATTAGGTGCTCATTTCTCAGTTCTGCGGTGACACCTGTACCCACACTTTCATACCGAATAAGAGGTCACAAGAGAGAATAAGGTCCGCCTAAATGTTACACTTTAAGAACAGTTAGATTGTGCTGTTTAAAGGCCTGTTAGTGTCATCTTGCTTTTTATTTTTTTGAAGGCCATACTCATTGTCATAAACAATTCTCAGTACTGTCAGTAAGGTCGGGCAATACAGCCGTGTAAATTGTTTTTATTAACAATTCAGCTTAATTGTTTACACTTATGCCAGGATTTTATTTGTGAAGTTCTGAAATGGCTCAAAATTATTTAAGAGATATTTTTATTGAGTTGCATTTTTTGTACAGTGAGCCTTTTAAAGACACCCTGAGTAGAGGCGTCAGGTGAATTAATAATATGAGCTTGAGTGACTGCCCACCCATTCTAACAGCTTCATCCCATTCAGGGTGCAGCCAGGGCCAATCCTGGCAAGCAACGGGTATAAGGCAGGGTACACCCTGGATAGGGTGCCAGTCTATCATAGGGCAGACAAACAGACACAAGCATGCACACACTCACACCTAGGGCCAATTTTCCCAGAAGCCCATTAACCCACCAGTGTGGTTTTGGACTGTTGGAGAAACCTGCTCACCTGGAGGAAACCCACACAGGCCTGGAGCTTGAGGGACTAATATAATACAAATGAATGTCTTTAAATACCTCTGGAGTCCCCAGAAGGTACAAGATATATAGGTATCATGTTTTGGTAACTTAATTTTAATTTTAGAATCATGTGTTGTTGTCTGTAAGTGTTACTGAGCAATGCTGTTCTTTGTTTTGTCATTTAGCCTAGTGGTTCTGCTGGCCAGAGACCTCCAGACTGATTTTTATCCCCATTTTCGAGATTTCTTTATTATTGTCACCTCCCTGCTGGAGACTCAAGACACACAGCTGTTGGAATGGGCTTTTACCTGCCTGTCCTACCTCTACAAGTACCTGTGGAGGCTCATGGTGAAGGATATGGCCGAGATTTACCGGTGAGCTTACATTCTTTAACGCTTCAAATCTAAACGCAAAACTCACCTTTCTACTAGGGCTTATATCAGATTGCCATACAGTTTATCCTTTATTTTCTTGTTTAATTTGTTTCCTTTTACTCTATATTTTTCTTCTTTCTTTATCTCTATGTACAGTGTCCTTTATAAATAAAAAATATTTTTATATCATTATGCAAAAATTTTGTTTCTCTTGTTCGCAGGTTGTATAGTACGTTGCTGGCACACAAAAAGGAACACATCCGAAATTTTGCTGCAGAAAGCTTTGCTTTTTTGATGAGAAAGGTGAGACGGGCTTTGTGAACTTCTCCTTGCTATAATAGTAGTTATAAGCAAAAACGTCTTTTACTCACTTAAAAAATTAGTTTTTTAAATCTCATCATTTAGCTACTGGAGCATGTTGAGGTGGGGATGCGGGTACTTGGGCAGGGGGCGGGGAGAGGCAGTGTGTGAGCTCACACCTGAAGAAGGCTCCACGGCCAAAAACGTTGCGTTTTCTGTCTTCTCTTTAACCTATTGCTTGTTCCTGAGAGGATCGTAACCTTGGCGCTGTGTTCTCTCTCGTCAGGTGTCTGACCTGGATGGCCTCTTCAACTTCATGTTCCTCGATCTGGAGGAGCACCCAGAAAAAGCAGAGGGCGTCGGTCAGCTGCTGTTTGAAATGTGCAAGGGCGTCAGGAACATGTTTCATTCGTGTGCCAAGAAGGTAACAGCTTTTGCAGGCGATGCGAAATTGCATTTCTGGAAGATTACCGTCTGCTAGAAATGCGCATGTTCTTATGAAGGTCCAGGTGGGGCTGGTGGAGGTGGAGGGGATCCCCATTAAAAAGCGCTTTGAGTGGAGTGTCCAGGAAAGCACTATATAAGTGTAAGCAATTATTATAATAATTATTATTATTCTTCTGTATATTTTATTCCGTAGGCATTTGCCATTGCTCTGAGGAAGCTGGGGCCCGTGACGGAGAAGGAGCAGACTCTGCCCTGGGTGACAGTTGGAGAGGCGCTCGAGCACATGGCCCAGACCACAGCTTCACACGTCCACACGGAGCACTTCGTGGTGCTGTGGGATGCCTTGCAGGTGTCTGCGCATTCTCTTCATCGTATTTCTGCTCTCTTCGACTCTTGTTTTGTTTCCCCTGTGTGTTGAAACTGTGGTGGTTTTCAGGCATGCGCCGATGAGGTGTCGGGAGAGCTGCAGGGCGCGGACAGTGAGTGCTCGCCCCAGATCGAGAGGCTCCTGCGGGTTTACCAGGCGTTAGTGGAGCATGGGCACGGGTCAAAGGTCACCAAGCCGGAGCTGGTGTGTGAGGTACGATTCCTGAAAAAGATGAGACATTTTGAAAAACATAACATTAAAAAGGAATGAAAAGGTTTTGCTTGTATTTATGTCGTGAGGATAGATAGAGAGGGGGAATAGCCTTTTTTTGTCTTTTGCATTTTACTGTTATGTTTGCTTCTACAGATGTAATTCTTTGATGCTTATTAGAAGTGTTGTTTTTGATCCAGTTGAACAAAATGTGTTCTTCGCTGGTGTTTCTCTGAATTTTATGTGTTTCTTTTTACTGTGGAAGCAGTGAACCTCTCCCAGCTGCCCAGCTTTGAAATGCACCACTGCCGCTAAATTAAAAGTAACAGCACTCGGCGGTTCTGTTTGCTGTTGCAGACACTGATGAAGCTTGCCCAGGCCCCCCAGCTGCATGTGTCCTGCAGACAGCAGCTCTTGAAGGTGATCTCGTCTCTGGTGCTGGGCGAGAATGTCACCCTGCCGTCCACCTTGATTGAGGAAGCTGTTCGGAAGGTACGTCATGCGGGAGCTCTGTCAACCCCATGCCCCCGTCTCTCTTACACAGCTCAAGCCTCGTCACCCCTTAGGGGGGATTTATTTGTACTCATGTACCGCTGCTCTGTCCCATCCTTGTGTCCTGCAGGTGTTTGGAAGTGGAATGGGCCAGGAGCTGATTCTGCCTTTCTCGGAAGAGATGTTCAGCATGAAGCAGTTCGAACAGGTAGAGAACCTAAAAGGTGTTTGGGGGGGAAAAACTGCGGCAATACCCCCAGATCAACAGCCGTCGTTGTCTGATGGTGCTCCCTTTTGATTATTGAAACAAGTTAGCCGAGCAAAAACAAAGGGCTGTTTCGTATAGCTGTATATCCTTTTTAATTCTGAAGACATTCAGCTCAAATCCCTGTAGAAGTAGGTGTCTGGTGTCCCATTACGAGCTGAACGCTCCCCTTACTTGCTGTATCTGATAACATTCATGTTGTGGAATGGTTTGAAGGTGTAGAGTGTGATTAACCCTTCAACACTTCTGCCTCTCTGCCAGCTTTTCCTGCCCAGTCTGCTTCAGTATTTGGAGCACCTGTTTGGGATGGATGACTCTGTCGTTCGCCAACTGGCTCTGGAGCTGCTTGCGAAACTGATCTTGTTCAAGGCCGCACCTCCAACTGATGGATCCATGGCCTTCGAGAAGTACCCTCTCGTTTTCACAGGACAGTCTTCGGGGTGAGTCTCCGTGGCTTCACCAGCGCGTGCAACAGTACTGTCGATCAGCATGCTCCTGTTCAGAAAGCTGTAGCTGCTGATCTGAAACGCCATTAATCACCGCGAACGTTTCTCCCCCTGATCTGATGTGTTTGGGCATCTGGTGCAGAACGGCTGCCGCGTGCCACCTGGGTGGGGCTGTGCTTCAGGTGAAGAGGGTCCCTTCCTGAAAAAGAAGTGCTTTTGATGAAAAGCACTAAGTAAAATCAAGAAAATATTCTTATGATGGCTTTTTTAAAGACGGTCTACATTAGGCACGTACTAGTGTGCACAAACCTGATATGACAGGGAGACTGAGCGGAGGGATTTGAGCTGTATGATACAAGTTCCTCCGTGTGCCTCTCACACTGACGCTGGCAGCTGCACTGATCACAGAGCCGGAGGGTTTTCCCTGCAGGCACTGCATCCTGTTCTCTACAGCACTGCATCACCTGGTGTTACAAGTGTGGTGAAATATACAAGGTGGCGGTGAAAGGCAGTCGCCCTTCTTGAACAACTTAGTCAACTGCGAAGAAAGGCACCTGCCTTCTGATGAGACAAAACAACAAGGTCCTGAAAATCCCATGGCATTTTTTCAGAAAGAGTAAGGATGTAACCCCAGCATCCTGGCCAGATTTCCCCCTGGCTTTTAGCAGTCACAGCCTTCTAATAATCTCCATTCATGAACTGGCTTCGTCACTTCAGATGTGACATAAAATCAAGGTCCAGACTCTCTGTGATCACGCTTCTCAGCAAGAGAAGGAGTGTTATTCCAGTGTTCTGGCCAAATTTTCCATTGGTCTTTACCAGTCATGG